ATCACAATACAGATAAGAACAATCAGTAAAAACTCAATAAAAGCACAATAAAAGAGTTAATGCCCAAAAGCCAATTTGTACCAATGAGTCTTCAGCCAAAATTTAAAAACAGCAATGGATGAAGACTGTCTAATAGAAAGGGGTAGTGCATTCCAAAACACTGGGGTGGCATACACAAAAGCTTGCTGCCCTCTTGTTTTATATTTCATGGGCGGAGTGCAGAGCAGCAAGCAGTCAGCCAACCTCAGTGATCGAGCTGGTACGTAAGGTGTAAGCAGATCCGATAAATAGGTTGGAGTAAGACCATTTAAGGCCTTAAACACAAAAAGCAGAATTTTAAATCTCACCCTGAATACTACTGGAAGCTAATGTAAAATCGCCAGAACCGGGGTGATGTGACTGCATCTATTTGTGTTTGTTAGGAACTGTGATGTAGCATTCTGTATTAACTGCAGCCGGTTCAAGGCTGAAACCGTAGTACCAATGAGAAGTGCATTAGCATAGTCCAGGAGGGAGGTGATGGAGGTATTATTTGCTTTTAAACATAGCTTTTTATTAACCCTCTCAGGCTCAAAATAAGTTTTGATAAAAGGATGAACAACTAAGTCCTTCAAGGGTACTTCTGAGTTAAAAAATGCTCATGAAATACGCATGTGGAGTAACCAGGTAGGTAGGTTTTAATGTTGCTTATCTGCAATGCCTGCCTCCAGAGGGTTAAAATGTTCCATATTCTAACTTTAATACTGCAGGTAACTAATCAACGTTTGTGCTTTTACCAGCTGAGGCGCTCATCTAAGATTAAGTCGATCCTCACAAAACAGGAGTTGGAAACCGTGACCAATGCTTTCATTACCTCAAGATTAGAGTATTGGAGCTCTCTGTATGCTGGCTTGAGCCAGTGCTTACTGACTCGGCTGCAGCTGGTCCAGAATGCTGTTGCCAGGTTTCTTTATGGAGCACAGAAGTGGGAGCATGTCACTCCCCTCCTGACTGCTTTGGACTGGTTTCCAGTGAAATACTGTATCTCATTCAAGATCCTGTCTTTGTTTTTAGCACTTTGTCTGGAACTACCCCACCACATTTGGCCTCACTGCTGACCCGCTGTGCCTGCAAGATCGCTACGTTCGGGTCAGAGTGACCCCCTGGTGGTTCCGCGGTCAAAGCTTAAGTCCAGGGGTGATCGTGCCTTTTCAGTTCTGGGTCCTCAGCTTTGGAAGAAACTGCCACTAGAAATGAAACAGTTCACATCGCTGCCCATTTTTAAAGCTAGGCTGAAGGTACAGCTTAGGTCTAATTCTTAGCTTTTGTACTCACATTTTTAATGTTCTGATCATTTTAGTTTTATGACTTTTTTAATCTTTTACTGCCTTTTAAATGTTGTATTTCTGCATTTTATTACACAGCTGTTTTGTTGTGTTTTTGTTGTTCTTAACACTATGTTCAGCACCTTGGGTCCCCTTGACTGGGGTTAGGAAGGGGCTTTATAAATAAAGTTGAATGAATGAATGAATGAACTAGCACTGCCTATCATGTTAGCGCCATTTACCTTACACATCTCCATACTAGCAAACTCCAGCAACAAAGGTCCGACCTGTGGTCAGATTTTTCCCATTCTGCAAAAGCTACAGCAACACTGCATCGAGCCAGAAGACGACTCTGCCTTCACAGGGAGCAAAAAAGAGAACATTTGGAAAGATCTTTCCAACCGATTCAGGTACAAATGAATATTTATCATAAATAAACTGACAGTTATTTTGCAGGAGCCATGCACAATTAGTTTTTTGCCACCTGTTTAACTACTCTAGAATTGATAAGAGAATTGATAAGAGAATTGATAAAGAATTGAATCGATAGACTATGTCATTGATATTGATGAAAACGTATCAATTCCCACCCCTAATCAGGATAAAACTAGAAGCCCCAACTGTTGTGTTTTGCAGCTGACTAATAAAACAACTTAAGTTACCTAATTAGACCATCTCACTTGAGTTTATAACCTTGAAAGGCATCCACACACAAATTCACATGTACTAATCACAACGTTCACACGCACAATTAGAAATCTGAGCTAGTGGGCCTTAAAGCCTCCCTCAGGTGCCTCCACCCTCACGCTGTGCTGCAGCTATTTTTATGTGATTTTTGCCACCGCAGGTGAACAACTGTTCAATGCTTCATGCTCCATTGAGTGACTTCTTTTCACCAGTGCTTTGTGCTTTATGTGAGGGCCAAACATCTGTATTACCTGAGGCGTGTTCACTAATTGTGGTGAACCAGGAAAAAAATCTAAGTCAAAGGCGTTGTAGGCTGGATGATACCTGCCCGGGAGTTCTTTCATTTCCACCTGCATACGTATACGCTAGCGAGCATGGATTGTGACAGCTAACAGGCGCTGCAAAGCAGCTGTCTCCCAGGTGAACTCATTTCAATTACAGGGGTGTATTTCTCCCAGCTGGATTTCACACTGCCTCAGTCGTCAACTCATGGTGACAAAACGGGTCGACGTGCCGCCTTGGTCGGGCCTCGGGCTGCCAAGGAAACACTGTGAAAGCTAAGTAAATGCCTTTCTCTCTACGCTGGTGCCGAAGTCATGCCAGGGAGACACTTGCTTATACCAGTGTCTCTCCTGTAAGCGCCGAAGAGCCCTGTAGCCAAAGTCGACTTGCTGTTAGGGATGGAGCGTCTCTATGGTAACAGTGATGGGAAAGGAGCCGGTAAATACAGGTAAACTCTACAAAGGCTGGAGAAAAACATCTAGCCTGATGTTCTAATGTGTTCATCATTTACACATGTCATAATGACAGGGTTAACAGCCAAAGCAGACTCCTGCTGCAACCAGACAAATCCCAGCTTCCTCACCCACCGGTGTCAGCCAAGGTAAGTCTCAAGGATATTCCAGCGAGAAAAATGAACTCAGACATGTCAGCTGACACATTTCTCATAAAAAGCTTTGCACAGGAAGATCAATTCGTTACAGATTAAACTCTTTTCTACACTTGTCGATTAAAAGCAGCCTCAAACAAACACATGTCCTTGTGCGGGTTTCAACAACTCCAAATCAATCAAATCTGAGCCGTGCAGCACAAAAGGATGATCAGCTTGTTTTCATTTGGATGTAGGCAAGATGTTCAATTAACAACTCTTATTTTTTTCTCCAAAGCTGTTTTAGGCCAGCAGCCAGAAGGTGTCCTTAATCATATAATAACATTAAGAAGATTACCCTGTTCCTGATGCTTCCTGATGAGCTTCAAGACAGAACAAAGAGCCTTATCGTGGACCATTAATGTCATTATGCAGCAGGTGCTTTGGGACACATGGACTAAATGGATCACACTGTCAGGTCTGAGTCAAATCTTTAAAGAGCTTTCCCGGGAGCGTGATGGCTAGATGTAAAAGTGTGCAGATGTGATTGTGATCTATATGTTGCTGTGGACAACACATGATCTATAATCCTGCAAAAAAAAAAAAAACTTTTATTCTCTGTAGCTTATATTGTTCACACACATGACAGGCACTTTGGCTTCAGCATTGATTGTTAGATAATGCCCGATTTAATGCTTTTGTAGAAAACGTCTGCAGCACAGCCTTTGCCAAGCAGCAGAAATCACTGACAGTTGCACACAAAATGTAAAAATTGCACAATGGTGCAATTTCCTGCTTATTATCATGCAGATAATAAATCCTTTGTTGCCCTGATAACACTCAAGGAGTACCTCTAGTGTCAAAAATAGCAGCCATTGAGAATTTCTGCAAAAAAGCAACAGAGCCACCTCCATAGTGTACACCAAAGCCTTGATCTGCACCTATGAGGCACTGTGGGGCAATATAATTCTCTGTAGTCAGACTCAATAGGCTATCAGTGAAATCCTGCTTCTGACTGTTTGTACTGCTCTACTACAACCTGTAACGCCTCAGTGCATGTTTTTATAGATCTGTTTTTATAATAGCCACAAATGTACTCTACGTGGTAATGACTAATTAATGACCAGTGAAGGCTTGATGATGATTAGCCTTAAGTGAGGATACAACCTGCACCAGCTCGATTCTTGAGAAATTAGATGGAAAGCTCCACAAGGAGAACAAGAGCCACAAGTGACATTTATAACAATTATTCTCTGAAAAGATGAGCCCTTTTTTATTAGTGTGCAGTTTCATTTAGAGGATGAATTATTCCTTTTATTACCTTTTTAAGCAAATGAATGTATAATTATTGTCAATATAGACAGCACAGGTGAATTAAAAGCTCTGAATTGCTGTTGCTGGGAAAAAAAAAGACACTGATCAATGATGTGTGTGCATGTGTGCGTGCACGTGTGTCTGTGTGCACAGGTTTGTCCAGAGCCCCATTACTAAAATGAGCCAAAGAATAAGTAAAAGGGTGAAATCAAGCTGATTTTAACCTGAACATGAAGTTAAAAAAAGCTCTTAACCCACTTTTTCCCTTTAAAAATGCAATTGTTTCCATCAGGTCACACACACACACACACACACACACACACACACACACACACACACACACACACACACACACACACACACACACATCCGAAGCTGGAACATGCATTTGTTGTCGCATCTGTGCCAGGTTTGAATCTGTGTCATTCTACCGACCAAGCTTCTGGATTCAGGTCTAATATCTGTTAGTTGGAAAGGGAAGAAACTTCTGGCCATATTGCAAACACACAGGAAGGCATTTTATTTGTTTATCCCCAGCATGTGCCCGTCGTCTGGTTCCTGTGATATAAAACCCCACGAGCCTCATCATCAGCCATCATTCCTCATATTTCTACATTTTTTCATCAGGACATCATATGAACTTTGCCACTATTCACAGAAGCTTAATTGGAATTATTTAAAACTCCAAGGAATTCCCATCAACAGGTGTCTTTTGTTTATCTTCATTTTCAGTTACGGTATCAATTGCAGCATAGCTGATTATTTTAGCTATAACTGCATTAGATAAATATATTTCCCGTGATGTTAAAAGATAAAATCCATCTCACCTGCGACTCCAGACAGTTTTCCAGAAATGTTTTAGCTGCTTCGTGTGTCAGAGTTGCTCTGATCTCTGCAGCAGCACGTCGCCTCTTGCTGTGAACGTGACGCACTCAACTTATGAGAAAACAACGTTTGGATCTTTTACTTAACACATACGACAGACGAAAGCTCATTTTAGCCCCTCGAAACGTTCCCCCACCGCTCCCCCGATGCTCACCCAAATATGGACAAAGGAAGTAAGGAGATAGTTCATGGTCCTCCACGGCTGTCGGAAATAATCCTTTCCCTCTACGAAAAGGGAAATACAGAAATGTAACATCAAAGTAGAATTGTGTTGCTTGTTATTGTGCTACATGACTAAGGTTACCAACTTTTTAAAGATAGAAAATACGCAGCTTCCCAGTGTTACATCCTTAATTATACATTTAGCTTTACACAATTATAAATCACATTTTTCATTTTCCTGAAGAATTCTTTAACTTTGTTCTTTTTTCACCACGAGCTGTAAGACTTCATGATTTTACCACATGTAAGTAACTTTAAGTTGTATAGCACTTATCACAGAAAGAGAATCACACGGTGTTTCACAGAGACCAACAAAGCATATAAATATATACTCAATCAATGATGGTACTTCACTCAGCCGTTGTAGATGGCGTTGGGTTTCCTGGTGTATATTTGTGTCATTATCCTATCTCTCCGGTTAGTTGCTGCCTTGTTCAGAGTTGATGTTAACTTCCCTCTGACCTTCTCCCCCTTGCCGTAGCATTTGTGTTGTATCTCGTCTATCTTAAGTTGTGATAGCAGTTGCGGTTTGTGAATGTTGGAACACTGTGCTACTAGTTGTTTGGCTATTAGTGTTGCGTGCCAGTTTCGAAGTAACCATTCTTACCACATTGTTTGCATGGGTTCCTGGACTCATAGCATTCCAATAGACCCAGTTTCTTGCATCTTGCCTATTTCCGTCTTGTTCCTGTTCCAATAGCCCTTTTCATCGTGGTGCTTTGGTTCCCCAGCACCTGACGCAGACCTTGTTTGGTCGGGCGACGTCTGAGCCGGCATCTCATTCATTTTTTTTTTGGCTCTCACTATGTTATGAGGTAGGCGAGTAGCACGAAGGTTCTTGCCTAAGGTCCCAAACTGGATGTTGGTGTTTTTGCCCCAACCCTGGTTTCTAACCAGGGAACCAACCCGGGTTTCGAATTGGTTTCTGCTTGTAAGTCCAGTGCTTATCTAGTTGGCTCTATCCAGCCGCTTTGAGCAGAGTATGGACTGGAAGCCCCAAGGTCAAAGTAGGGTAACACCCCCTAAGGTGGTTGAGAAAAAGAGAGCTATAGCTCCTGTGGGACTTCCAGATCCAGACTGACAAAATGGTGAAGGCAAACCAACCGGGCATGGTGGTGGTGGACAACACAGGACAGCCTCCTGGACTCCTCCCTGGTGAGGTTTTCCAGGCATGTCCAACTGGGAGAAGGCCTAAAACTAGACCCAGGACACATTGGAGGAACTCTGTCTCTCACCTGGCCAGGGAACGCCTTGGGATTCCCCCAGAAGATCTGGCCCAAGTGGCTGGGGAGAGGGAAGTCTGGGCCTCTCGACTGCCCCTCGCGACCCGACTCCGGATAAGCGAAAGAAAATGATGGATGGATGGATGGATGGATGGATGGTCATAAAATCACAATCATCTTAAATAAATTAAAATCAGGAAAACAAAGCAATGAAATTATGAAATGATAAAAAAAACGAAAGATTATTCTAAATCTGAGTTAAAAAGAAGAAAACAAAATATGTAGGTTTAAGCACCTTTAAATAAAAGAGTCGTCAGCTGTTTTTTAAAAGTGTCCAGACTGTCAATGCTATGTAAGGATGAAGGAAGTTCATTGGGGTGCAACAGTCTGGAAGGAGCGATCACCTCGACTTTTGTATCTGGTCTTTGGAACTCCTAGAAGGTTCTGGTGTGTAGACCTGAGGGCTCGGGTTGGAGCATACGGCTTTAACAGTTCAGTAATGTAGGGAGGAGCTTGATCATGTAGAGGCCTGAAAGTTCTAGTCAGGATTCTAAATGAACTCTAAAGTTAACGGGTAACCAGTGCAGAGACATTAGAATAGGAGTGATGTGTGCTCTTCTGTTTGCTCCAGTTAGGAGCCTCACTGCAGAGTTCTGGACCAACTGAAGGTGGTCCAGGGCTGCTTTTTTGTTAAAACATATGAAGAGTATGTAACAGTAATCTAGACGGGAGGAGGTAAATGCATGGAAAACCATTTCAAGTTCATGTTTTGACGGCAACCTTCGCAGTTTGTAGATATTTCTTAAATGAAAATAACAGTTTCATACCAATGTTTTTCAGTGGCCTTCAATAGACATTGATTGGTCAAAAACAACACCCAAATTCCTCAAGTTTGACTTGACGGCAGAATATAAATGACCAAGTTGTTGACTAATCAGAGGAACCATGCTCTAAGGGGCAACGGTCAGACATTCAGTCTTTTCAGAGTTTAATTGAAGGAAGATTTCTTCTAGTCAGCTGGTGATAGCCGATAGACACTCTGTTTCAAACTGTTTTTAGACCTCAGAATCCTTAAAGGAGACCAATAATGCAGTTTATCAGCAATATAAAACGGATCTTTGAACCTCTTTAAAGTATATAAACTTTTGTTGGAGCTTAAATTGTCTCAGAAGCCCCGCTGCCAGCAGAGTTTAAATAATACTGATGCTGAAGTGGATTGGAACATGTAACTGTAGCAGGAGTGGTTACCTTGTGACGTTACTATGAAAGCTTGCTCAGAAAAGGAGACTTTTTTCCCCACCTTTTTCAATTTTCTAATTTACATAAAAAGTAGGTCACATACAGTTTAGACTTTTTGGCATGAGTACCGTATTTTCCGGACTATAAGCCTCTACTTTTTTCCCACGCTTTGAACCATGCAGCTTATAATGAGGTGCGGCTTTACTGAAGATTTTCCTTCACCTGCCAGGGGGCGTTTCGGCAGAAGGTGAAAACAGGTGGAAGTCAAAAGTGGAAATTGAAGAAAGTGCTCATTTTAATTTTGCTCATGCAAGCAGCCGGCACGACGAAGAATTTTTTTCAAATCCATACCCCCTCATCATGGAAACTACACGTATGAGTTCATATGTTGCCGCATTTAAGTTGAAGACCATCGATCTGGCAGTAAAGGAGGGAAACAGTGCTGCCGCACGTAAGCTTGGCATGAATGAATCCAAGGTTCGGCGCTGGAGACGGCAGCGGGAAGAACTCATTCAAGCCAGCTTCACCCGGGGATGATGACAGCAACACGGACGAAGCTCTTCTGAGGCTGTTCAACTCCGACACTGAGCAAGAGGACTTTAATGGCTTTAGTGCGCAAGAGGAAGATGAGAGCGAATTACTTTTTCTGGTTGGCAAGTGTGTTTTATTTACTAACCAGGCATGTTTTGTGTGCAGTTTTTATTTTCTAATCGTCCAGGGCTTATTAATGCTGTGTCAGCGATGTTCTTTTCTTCTAAACATGCAATTTTCCAGTAATAACGTGTCAGTTCTGGTTTTATTTTTAACCATCCAGAAATATGAATGCTATCAGTGCTGCTTTCTTTTCTAAACTTGCAGGCACGTTCACCCGTGTTTAAATTCATTTTGTTGAATTAAAACAACAAGGAAAAACCTCCGTGTAGCGTCTTTCTGTCTAATTATCTTATGTTATGGCCATACATGCGCTGTGCGCCAGAGACCTGCATGTGGCTGCTGCGCCGCGGCTTGTATTCGAGTGCGGCGTGTGTGTGTGTAGAAGAACTTTTTTGTTGGTGCGGCTTTTATTGAGGTGTGCTCTATAGTCCGGAAATTACGGTACTTTTAACTACCCAAGCTGTCTTTATTCAACAACAACAAGGAAAATGTGAGTTTACATTCTTGGTCTCCTTTAAAGGAGCTGTACAGCAGAATGTCAACTGCATATAGGTGACAAATGACATTATGGGGGGAAAAATCAGTTATACATATATATATATATATATATATATATATATATATATATATATATATATATATATATATATATATATATATATATATATATATAGTAGAAACACAAATGGACCCATAACAGAGCCGTGGGTTACCCCAAAGAACTGATCAGTAGGATCCAATAGTAATTGCTTTATAAAGACACTGTAACGTCTGTTAGATAGGGAACGATCTAGACCAATCTAGAACTGTAGAGATTCCCAGCCACAAAGTTTTAATTCTGTTTATTTTATTGATGTTGTTGTAAACTTTTATTTTATTTGGTTGATGGCCAGTTGTGTGTATTTTTCCTTGGCAATGTCATTGTTAACTTTTTAGCTGATATTAATAAAGTTGTTTATTTTTTTAAATGGTACAGGACAGAAACCGTATTCAAGATCCATAAAACTTTAAAAAGGTTTAAGTTTTGCTTTATGCTTTTTTTATTTTGATATTTGTGTTCATTTTTACGTCGTTGTTTATAAGGTTTATAATGCAAAAGAGGCTGGATTAGGGAACTGAAATCCTTTACAGTGACTGTTCGCATCTTTTGAAGTTGGGTTCAGTAGACGTGTGGTTTTACAGTAGCTTAAGTTTGGAGTAAATGGGTGTTACAACCCAGCTCAGTCAGGGGGAAGAGAAGTAACATTTAATAAAATAACCAGATGTAAAAGGTAAAAAGGTAATAGATTTATTCAGTGCAGAGCTTTTTCCTCTAAGTTTCACAGAATCCACGGTCACATACCAAAACAACAATCTTGGCTCAATCCCGGAGCTCAGGGATGGAATGCATCACGCTGTGAATGCACGAACTCATATAATTGTCGAGATGAGTCGTAAGCTTGGAACTTTGGCTGAGATTCAGGCTCTGGCACACAAGGTGGATACCATCAAGGAGAGAGTAGGCGGATCAGCACGGATTGGGATTGATTAATTACACCATTATTGGATCTAGAGGGGTTGTAGACCAACAGAACACTAAGGCAGAGAGGAAATTATCTCTGTCTGTCCCCAAAACAATTCTTATCTGAATATGGTGCCCTTGGAGACTGTGAGGCTGAAGTGAAAACTCCCCCCAGAAGAAATGTGGAATGCTGTCATCGCATTGAAACTCTTTCTCCCTATCCCAGCCTGGGCGGGACTGTGACCAGTGAAGACCGTGGAACCGTATCTAGGAGTCACTGTGCCCTCTAACCCATTATCTCCCTCCCCTGTCCAAACAGAGGTGTTGAGCGCTGCCCCATGAGTCCCAACTCTACCTCCCCACCTAGTGGACACTTATGTTGTGTAATGTCTGAAGTCTGTGTGCATATCTGTCTGAGGTGGGGTTTTTTTTGCATAGCAAAGCTGCCCTCTCTGTTGAGGGTAACTCTGAAGTGCCTTTTTTCCCCTCCCCCTGACTCTATCCTCATATAAACCCTCTTGATCTATTACAATAGCGCGACTCGGGTTGCGAATGACCGCAGCCACCAATTCTTGTCATGTGTCTATGTACGTATGTCTGATCTCAGAATTGTGTGTACTGAAACTCTAATTTCCCTCTGGGATTAATAAAGTATTTTTGAATTGGAATTTGAATTGAAATAGCACTAACATGAAACGGGCTTCAATGAACAAGAGTGTAAATTAAGACAGAGTAACCCAGTTCGGGACTCCCTACTAACAAACCCAGAAGCATACACCATAAATAAGAAGAGAAAAATAAATATCCACACATCAATGCCTCAGCGGGAGTTAGAGGCAACGGGTTGTAAATAACTACAACGCCAAAACTGAACACAAGGGAATAAACACTAAACACTTGATATAAGTAGGTTTCAGAGAAATGCTGTAACTGCAACACAACTTGAAAAGAATGAACCCAACCAAGATAGGCCATTGGCTGTAACGACGGGATTGGCAGAACAGATTCCAGCAGTTGGGAAGGTTTTTACTTTCTTTCACATTTCAATCCATTTTAGTTTGATGTTGTTTTGTCCTTGTTGGGTTGTGTTTATCTCTCCCTTTGTCTTTCTCGTTATTTGTTGTCCATCCTTTTTATCTCTGTCTCTCCGCCCTGCAGAGCGGCTCTTGCCATAAGATCAATCAAACCAATTACGCAAATGGAGGAGTATTCTACACTTCTTATTGTCAAGTAAATCTGCTTGGAGGAAGGAACGTTTCATTGCTATCAGCCAGAAATCTAATGTGATTCCATGAAGAAATAACCCGAACCTGTTATGCACCATACAGCATATATGATTAAACACTTTGTATGAGCCTCTTTCTTTTGCCTTTAATATTTTACAATTCAGGCAACCGGTTCATTGATGGAGCTGGAGTTAACGGAGTGTACATGAACGCATCATTTGACTGTTGCTGAGGGATGTCGCTGAGAAAAAAATCCTCTGCAGAAAAAGGAACAAGTTCAGCTGTCAATTAAATCGTGATGCATGATTTTAATTTCCCTCTTAATTAGATTATAAAATCGTTTTATTGTAATGTTATTGTTTAAACTGACAGTGGCATCATACATATGCAGGTGACAAAGGGCGCAGGAAGAGTGCCTGTCTCCCAAGAACACATAAGGCTGTGGTCACGTGTCTTTTATTTTCAAATTAATGAGTGAAATGAAACATTTCTGTTCTATTTTACCCTGAAAAAAAAAGAAAACATTTGGAGACAGCAGCTCAAAATTGTGTTTTTTAATTTCCAACCAGATTGAACACAGCATTATTCTTAAACACTGCTGGCTACAGTTCAACCATGGTTTACCTGAAAGTTCTTACCTTTGTTTCATTAAAAGAGGTGGATATTTCTTTAAAAGCTCTAAGGTCCTTATTGCACCACATTCTTTCTAATTGCTCATTAACACACATGAAGGGAAAGACAAGCATGCTTTAAATAGGCACAAGGACATTGATGGCATGCTTTCAGGTGAGATCTTTTTCACACATGACCTATACAGAACCTGTATCTCCTCCTATGGAACAGAGTTTACCATCATCACCAGTAATGTCCACAAAAGTCCGTTTGGAAGTATTTTGTTGTTTGACCACAGAAAAGGTTCAGAGTACTGGATTAAGTTAAAGCTGACTGCAAATTCCCACTGCAAATATCAAGTTTCTGAGCTATTTTAGCAACTGCATAAAAGTACAAGCACACTGATCTTTGGACACATAAAACAATGCTGCGTTCAAAATGAAGGCTTCACTGCTTTTCTGCCCAAAGCTAATGACTAATGAATGTTTGACTCTTGGTTGGATAATTGGGTTTGAGATGTTTATTTATAGAGGATTTATTTATTTATTTCATTTTGCTTTAGCCAAAAATGCTAATAAAAGCAGCATTTTAATGACTGATGTGAGTGTCTGCAAACGATGCAGAGTGTGACAAGAGAATGTTATCATTTTCACATCCACTGATAAAAAAAGGCAGACTTCTATGTACTTGAAATGTCTTGATATCATGCTGAAAATCTTAAAGCAAGGAAGCTTTTCCCCTGTTGAGTGATAAGACACATGTGAGCGTGTGCCTGGTTTCCATGGACACAATGGAGAACTTCCTCAGTGGGTACTTTTTCTACAGTCACTGGTTGATGCCAAATACTCGATGGCAAAGGGCGAGTGAAGCCTTTAGTCATAACCAGGACCAGAGCAAAAAGGACTATGAGTTTCACACTTAGTCCTGATTTGGTAATAATAATGGACTAGAGTGGATGTATGCAATCATTTCATGACACATTTTGTTATTTTAGTGCAAATTTAAATGACTTGGAGCTTACAAAGAAATTAGCTCAAAAATGAGCTATTTCATACATTTTCCCCATTTAAACCCACATTTAACTGTGCAAATCTTCCCTTTTGCTTGTGCTCATTTTAGTCGAACTGATTGATTCTTACAGATGGTCTGAAATGCTTTTTTACAATCTACTCAGATTATTACTGTTAATTTGAATAACATCTGTTTTAAATGGCCGGGTTGAGGGAACGCATCACATGTTGTTCCGATTTAGATTTTGTATTAGCTTTGGTTTTTATTACAGACTTTAAAATGTTTTTTATTTTAAAAATCATACCAGCTCAATTTTGGCTCATTTGCCCCCATATGACTCACTGGGGAAATGGATTTCTGGATGCAAAATCACTGAAACCCTGCTGACTTGTGTTGGGAAGGGGTTTTATGTAAAAGTGCAGCACAAATGAAGACTGAACTATATAAATGGACAAATATTATATGTTTTTAATAGTACTACTGCAAATAAAAAGGATTCAAGCAATATTCATCCTATTTCAAAACAAATATGTTTCTGTCTTGCTAGAAACAGCAGCAACACATTGGTCAGGAGGACACAATCAAATACATAAAAAAAAACACCTGCTTGCATTTTTGATTTGGAACTTAAATATTATTCATCTCAACTTATTCTTTTAGTTTTTGCCTTTCTGTTCACATGCCTATTGTGCCTCCTGGAGGAAAAGAAAAGGAATGACAAAGCAACCGCAGCAATTTTTCTTTTCTCAACTGTTGTCTAGATCTGCCCTTTACTGGTGGATAAAAACAAACAGGAGAATCATCATAGTTAAAGTGTAACGAGACGGAACACGCATGCTTTTTCAGAAGGTAAATAAAACAAATTAAAATAAATTCTGGTTAACAACCTGGTCCAAGTGCCAGTTAAGTTACATTTTTTCTGCCTAAAATGAACCAGAACCTCATAATAAACATTATATATCCAAAGATTTAAAAATGTTCTTCCTGCCACCAAAAAGACAACAAACAAACAAACAAACAAACAAACAAAACAAATAAGAAACCCCACAACTTTATGTTCTTTGTCGGACTACAATTGCAAAATAAAACCTGAGCTCAATTATACATTCCAACAATAAAAAATGAGAGTAAACTCTCTTTGATACATTATATTAATTATTTGTTTCTACTAATGACTGACAAATATCCCATACTTATGTATTTGTAAACAAATATCCCATGTCTATGTATTTGTAAACAAATATCCCATGTTTATGTATTTGTAAACAGTAAGTTGTAACCTTTAAAAAGTCTTGATTACTACCATCCCTAAGCATGGTCGGTTGAATAGTAAAACTGGAAAATATTTTATGAACATTTAAAGTCACAACAACAGAAAGGATTAATTATTTACTGTACAGTAAGTCGGGCTCGTTCCCAGTGAGAGTTGGACCCTGTCAAGGCTGCACCGATTCTGTTCAGAGCTTTTATGGACAGGATTTCTAGATGCAGCCATGGTAAGGGGATCCGTTTTGGTGGCCTGGGGACTGAGTTTCTGCTTTTTGTAGATGATGTGGACCTGGTGTTGTCCTGTTGGCTTCATCAGAATGTAGTCTGGCTTTTGCTGGAGCAGTTTGCAGCCGAGTGTGACTCATCTGGAATGAGAATCAGCTTCTCTAAATCCGAGATCATGGTCTTGAGTCGGAAAAAAGTAGAATGCCTTCTCCAAGTCAGGGATGAGGCCATTCACCAAGTGGATGAGTTTAAGTATTGCAGGGTCTTGTTCATGAGTGAGGGAGAGACGGGTTAGGACAAACAATCACGCACACACACACACACACACACACACACACACACACACACACACACACACACACACACACAGAACATGCAAACTCCATGCAGAAAGATCCCAGGCCGGGAAGCGAACCCAGGAACCCAGTCGTTGCTGCAAGGCAACAGCTCCAACCACTGTGCCACTGTGCTAGTAAACCAAAAAGAACAAATGTGCTCAATTCTATGTAACTAAGTGAACTATTTAAGGTTTGGCTTTAATCAATTGTGTTTTGTTATAAAAATAGAAGGTTTAACCATTTGTTAAAATTAACATTCTGTGAACATAAAAAATGCTACAGATTAATGTTGTTGTAATTAAAACAAAACTTTTCAGTAATTCTAATTTAAACGCAACCTTTCCAAATATTCTTTTCTTTGTAGCTGCACGAAATCATTGTCTTAAAAATAAAGTTTTATCTAATTAGGTTTATGGGTTTATTGACGTCAGGTCGTTGTTCTCATCAAGCCCGGCAGATGGCGGTCACGAGATTGTAAATGGGACACGCGCCTCCTAATTGAAGGCGAAGAAGAAGAAGAATCTTGTCCAGTATGCTCCGAATGTGCCTCTAAATGTGCTTGAAATGTGAGGAAAGTCGATCTTCACGCCTTGTCTACTGTACCTGTCATAGCCTGCATACCATGGGTGAATATCAGCTCCATCTGAACTTTACTGTCTCGACCGGAGAGGACTGTCTCTGTTTTTGTGGTTCGTGTTGTTATTTCAGCTAGCACTAACCTCGGCTAAATTAGCTCACGCTGCTGTTTTGACTTCAGCGACACTGATGCCGAGTCGTTGCTGCAGGGCAAAGCCCCGCAAAACAAGGAGACTCCACAGCAAGTAGCAGGAATAAGAAACCAATCCGAATAATGTTCATGTGAGGTCGTGATAAACTGGCGTCTTACGAGGGTCCGATGCCACCCCGCTGCACACAACTGCTGAGCTTTTAAAAGAAACAACTCAGCCCAAACATGTTAGTGCGCGTAAGGTCAGCCAACACACACACGATACGCTTTAACGTGAACCAGCTGGCGTCCTCGCTGTCTGCGTGTTTCGGGACGGAGCAGCGGACTGCCGCTGGGCATCTGTCTGAGTGAAAAGTCAAACATGTCTTGCAAAGCCGCCACCAAGGACAAGAAGTCCAGCTTCAGCAAGAAGCTGTTCAGGCGAGGCTCTGTCCGCTCCGTGGGCAGTTTTATGAGCAGAGTCCTGAGGACATTAACAACATTATCACACTTTGGATCTGAGGTACAAACAAAGGATGACAAAGACGATGGAGGCTTCTCCACTTTTAAATCTGGAAACAAAGATGCCCCCATGGAAGATGGAGACCTGGGAGGATTTCTCTCAGGAGAGAGAGTTCCTGGGGTGTCAGGTCTGAAAAACCACGGGAATACCTGCTTTATGAATGCTATTCTGCAGTGCCTCAGCAACACCGAGCTGTTTGCTGAGTACCTTGTTTTGGAGCACTACAAGGGCGAGGAGTTGGATGAGGACAGGCCAAAGACAAATGGCATGCATTTGCAGAAGAAAGGACTTCTGGGTAAAGGAGAAGTGACCGAGCAACTGTCAGGACTTGTTCGAGCTTTGTGGACGTTTGAGTACACACCCCAGCACAGCAGAGACTTCAAGGTAAGACGTCACATGATGAGTGTGGCCTCCATAAAATACGGCTAGAGAATCAGTTTCTGCTTTTCATTTCTAGACGTTTGGTCTGAAGAGAATAAAATGTTATTGGTTGCAGAATGCCGTCTCCAAAAATGCCACTCAGTTTAAAGGGAACGCTCAGCACGATGCTCAGGAGTTTCTGCTGTGGCTGCTGGACAGAGTGCATGAAGATATCAACACCATCCACCCCAACTGCAGGCCTGCTATAAAGGTGACTCTTGGAAGTTATAGATTTCTTATTAATGTCACCATTTCTCACAAGTAAAGAAGTGTGTGTTTACAAAATACTGATGATCCAAAAAGCCTGTTTGTATCTCATCAGCCTCCCATAGAAGAAGATGACCAGAGCATAGAGGGGCCGTCCCCCCCCCTCTCTGCTGGGTCGTTTGTACAGGAACTGTTTCAGGCGCAGTACAGGTAGGCCTGATTCAGTCAGTCTGGTCCCAATGCCTCCTAATCACAGATCAACACATTTGATTTGAACTTTCCCTACAGGTCTTCTCTTACCTGCCCACATTGTCAAAAACAGAGCAACACCTTTGATCCCTTCCTCTGTATCTCCTTACCCATTCCGCTACCACACACTCGGTGAGTTTTGCTTTTACTGCTCTTTAATGACAGGAGCTGGTTTCCAGACTTCCTCCTGCAGGTTCTTACAAGCTCCTGAGGGATTGTTTAGTTCTACATCTAAGAAAGGAAACGCTGCATTTGAGGTTTTCAGCGCTTTGACATCTTTTGTCAAAGGTCAAATTCAACGCGTGTGTGTGCATGCGTATGTGTTTTAACAAATTTGAGAGGGTGTGAAGAAAATATCAAGGTGTGTGTGGTTGTAAAAGGAAGAATGCAACCTGTTCTGTCAGGAGTGGGTGAGTTGAGAGTGCAGGAGCACGCACTTTTAATATTCACTAAACTGTGAATATTCAGGGCAGAAAAAGGAAAAATAGACTGATTAAATGTAGCTATCTAGCTAATGGCTGAACCTTTAGGTAGTGTGCTTTCTTTGTTCTGGCTAAATAAACAAATACATGTCTTAGTTTGTCTATTTAGGTTGAAGTGCAGATGTTTTAGAGTAAAAGGGTCATGAGAAAGACTATCAAGCACTAATATGCTAATACCAACAGTATTAACATTTATGAATCACACAAACATTCAATTAAGGTTTTAAACTCCAGAAGATGCTTTTCAAATACTGCTTCTAAAAATGATTTTGCAAAATCAAAGTATTCTCTGTCAATTGTAAATGACAATATAAAACTTAAAAAATGCCCTTGTTTAGATTTGTCTCCTTGCCTGTTTTGAGTTTCAGTCCAATCCAGATTAATTTATATTTAAGGTTGTCACGGTGTGAAAATTTAACCTCACGGTTATTGTGACCAAAATTACCACGGTTTTCGGTATTATCTCGGTATTTTTTTTAAACGTGTTACATTTTCACACAATTAAATAAACTGTATATCAGGAAAATATTGTCCTCAGTTTGTGTCTAAATTTTGCCTAAAATGTGTTATTTTGTAATTATGTTGTTTATTTGTTTACATTTTTTTCCCTTTAGTCTTTAAAATACCAATATTTGCCCGTAACTCCTTAGTTTTTGTCTGTTGTCATCATTTTAAAAATATTAGATCAGATGATACTCGGTACTCAAGTAGCCTTCTAATCAGATACTTTTGTACCCTTACTTGAGTAATAAACCCTATATCAGGAAAATATCGTCCTCGGTTTGTGTCCTTCCAGTGAGCTTTGCAGATGTGGGAAAATGTCATCAGGCAGTAATCATTGCTAAATTCATAATTATTCTTGGAGAGAGACCAACTCTTATCTGCCCCTGGGAGCCCCGTAATGCATAGCGTCATTTCAACATGGGGGTGTCCGCGACACGGTTTATATGCAGGTAGCGGCGCTGCGGCTGCTTTATGTAGCTACTCGTTGCATTCTCCCTCAACCCAAATTCTCGGATTAGGCATTTTAGCTAAAGCGCTAACGTTAACTTGCCTTGCGTTGACTGTAGAGTTGTGGGTGATGGTCACGCAGCTGTGTCGATCTGAAGCGTTGCTGCCTTTCACAGACACTTTTTCTGCACGTGCTGCAAACAGGATAGCCGTCTTCTATCAACTGTCCCTCTGCATTCTTCAAATATCCAAAAAATTCCTGTACTTCCCACTTTGTCTTCTTTGAGGGATAATAAATGTCCTGAGTGCTGCTGTCTCCTCCTTTGGCCATTATTTCAGCTTTAGCTTCAAGAAAGTTTTGGTTGTAAACAACAAAGTGCGCATGTGCCGCCGGCAACTTCAGCAGATGATACGGTGGCTGGTAAGGGTCACCGCGCCTACACCGCAGCCACGGTAATCCATGAGATAATAGATTTAAAAAAAAACAAGACGGTTATTATTATTGTCAACTTTTTTACCGGGGTTTACCGCTACACCGGTTACTGTGACAACCCTATTTATATTACACATAAATCAACAGCATGACAGCTTAACACAGTGCTGACAGCTGGTCAGGGTTGATCTTAGGGCTGCACGATATTAGGAAAACCTGCGATATCCGTTCCTGGAGACCCCCGCTTGGATCCGAGATGTCAGGGAGTCTGGTGACCCCTGTGCCTCGAGGTTCGTAGGATAATTGTGAGGCGACCAAATCAGTCCTGAGATGCCTCCGGGTATCAACAATAGAGGGAATTGTTTGTGTCTAGAACAGCTGTTTCTGAGTAGCTGAAGGCAGCTTTTGGCTTGTCAAAAGACTTGATGGTTCAAAGAGTTTTGCTCCGGCTGGCCGGTCCGGAGCTCTTCTCAAACTAACAGACTCACTTAGCAAGTGATTCTGTTTTTAACAATCGCCATATTTTGATTTACTGACAAATCAGAATCTTACAAGTAAATGGGTTTTGCCAACAAACCTCAGAAACCACACCTTCCATCACATACAGGAGTTCTGATTTGTGGAACAGAAAGCAATGTGTCATGAGATTAGTTTTACCTTGTCATCGTCATGTGTGTGAGTGTGTGAGCTGTCAGTAGATAGTGATTCACTTGTTAAGTCAAACTTAACTGATCACAACATAATATTCATTTCAACTTCAGTAATTTAAGCACAGATTAATCAAAACATTGTTGTTATTCTTCAGCCATTATTATTCATTCAACCAAATTATTATTTACGTATTTCATTGTGTCATTCAGTATTCGTTATTATAACGGTTCATTCTTATAAAAGTTCATTGTTCTTTTTCTGTGAAGCAAAGCAGATAAAGATAAGAGGAAACTTGAGAGGGACCTTGGTCAGGCAACAGTATCTTTCTTGCAGATTAAACGCTCCATTTAAGACTTACGTCTCCATATGACCGGATACTGAAGAGGTCACTTGTAGATGAAAAACGGACCATTTCTGGATGCTACAATAACAATGATTAATATTGTGATGACGATATTACCGGTACTTGTGATAAATAAAAACTTAACTCAGGAACAAAAATAATCAAGAAACAAAACAAAACAAAAAAAAATAAATTAAAGAAAATGAACAAGAAAAGGCAATCAGTGGATCCCGGGAAAAGCAGAATCAGCAAAAGAGAAGAACAAAGCTAACTCAGGTGTTTGCTAACCATCAAAATTAAGTGCCGTCCGCCTCAGGGGCAGACATCTGACCTATGAGAACCCACCCAATTGACCAAATGGGTGAATAGCTCTATTTGATTTGTTAAAGGAGTAAGGAGTGTGCACGTACAGCATGCGCGCCTCGTGCACAACTATTGAAGCTGCCGTTACACTTTTGGCCTGAGGGGGCAATCGCGAGCATAAAAATTCAAAACTCCGTAAAGTCCCTTTAAAAAAACATGATGTTTCCGTTTGATCGAATGCGTTGTGTAGCAAACATTTGAGCTGACTATTCATTGCGATATTTATCTGTTCTTTGCGATATGCGTATTCTGCATGCTGATATCTCTATAACGATATATTTACGATATATTGTGCAGCCCTAGTTGATCACTTTATTTTCAGAATACTACCGGTATTTAGATAAGGATACATTATATTATTGCTATATAGAGCAGCAATTACAAAGATGTGTTGTTAATTGAAAATTAGAACTGCTTTCCATACTGGTTGTTGTAGACAAAAACAGGGGAAATGTAGTCCAACTAAATGAATTGTAACATCCTCTGCGCATAATCCAATCACTAGATGGTGCTCCACAGCCAAAGAACAGGTCCCTATTTGTAATTATCTGAGGAAATTAAAAAATACTATTTTTGATCAGTCAGACATGTTTCTTTTTCTGTTTTGATGATAAACATTTAACTCATTCGCTGCCAGCCGTTTCCTTATCGGTAAAGCCCTTCGCTGCCAGCATTTCTCACTGTTTTTACAGTTTTTCTTAAGAGTTGCAGAACGTTTCCTGCTAGGATGATGTCGATGCCAAAACAGTCGAAACAAAGCGGAGACTCACCTCTTACATCAGGAAGAATCCGCGCGTTTCGAGCGTTATCCGTTCTTTCATAATCCGTTGTTGAATTGTGATCGGCAGAAGCTTTTCCGGTTTGTGCCTCACTTTTTTTACAGCAGCGGCCCAAAACGCTCCTAACACATGGAGGTTCTGCTTCCTGATCACCTGACGTGTGACGTATGCAGATGAAGATCGGCTTTAGAGCTGAGAGGTTTGTTCTCACAGTGTGGGGGCTCGTTCCGACGCCCACACAGTAAAAACATGCAAATGATGATTTTAGTCATCATTGGCAGTGAATGAGTTAATAATTTATGGTCCACTATATCATCTTACAGGTTGATGACACTTCCCAGGATTTATTGTTATTTTTTTTTAACTTGTGTACTCTTACTCCTCCTACTGATGAGTGTGTGTCCAATAGGGAACACTCCCTGATTAAGCGCACCTGTATATATTGAATTCAGCATGTTGTTCAGGTGTTACTCTGACGAAGACACAAGTAAGTGTCGAAACGTTAAGCCCTTTTCAGACAGACATTCTGGAACATTTGCGGACAATTCAATCCGGTTTTTAACCGGAACTGTGTTTTCAGACACGCCACTTTTGTACCGGTACTTGTCCTTTCGGCTGCGTTCACACAGCAGAGAAAAGTTCCAGATGTCTGACGGCGGCGGGGGGTGGGGTGGGGTTGGGGGGGGGGGGGGGGGGGGGGATCGGACTTATGTTAAGAAGAAGAAGAAGAAAATATCATTTCTATAGCGCCTCTCAAGATAAAAATCACGAGGCGCTTAAGCATAATTCTGCGCACACGAAGACGCATAAGAGACCTGGATGATGAAGCTCAATGGTTAAAGGAATCACTGAAGCGGTGTGAAGCGCTCCGTCGCGCGTCTAGACGGTACCGTAGGAGGCGAGCTGCCGTGGTTCGCCGCATGCTACACCAGGGCTATATAGGTGCGCACAGCGTCCCCCGGTCCCCTCCTCCTCCCCCTCCCTCTTGTCCAGATCTTTACCTCACCAGTCTGAAGCAGCCACCCTGTCCGTAACAATTCCGGACCTGTTACTAGGGGCTTCGTCCGGATAAATTCCGGAACACGTTTTCCGGATGTTTGTATTCAGACAGAAAGGTCTTACGGACAGATTCCGGAACATTTCCGTTTTTCATGGCCTGTCTGAAGGGGGCTTAAGTCTTTTGTGCTCGTGCCTATTAAATATTTTTTTCACTTTCAATGCTCTGGCCGTCTTTTTGCTTATTTTTACTACTAAATGAACCCTTGTTTACTGGATTGTTCCAATATTACTGTCTAGCCACTTCAGTCACCAACGTAATCTGACTCAGTTTGAGCCGATTTGTCCGCTCCATGATCTCAGAGTGGACCAAACAAGTTGGGAGTGCCACAACTTTTTCCTGCTAGCTCTGCAGATGGATGAGCCATGGTCCTAATTCTCCTTTAGCAGCCTCAGAATCTAAAATATTCCTACGTAGGGAACTTCAATGTCTTCCTAGGTGGAAACAGACCAGTCCCGGTGGTTGTTGGCGCCGGTTCTGATTCTGTCATGATCCGCGTACGTTCAGTTCAGTCACGCTGTTGTTTATGTCCTTGTGGGTCGCAAGCTGTTGTCTTTGTTTTTTTTGTTCTGCGGTGTTGGAGAAGCCTTAACGGTGGATTAGCTGCAGCGTTTCACACTGTAGTTAATAGTCAGACCGGTTAATTGATTGATTGATTGATCGATTGAAACATTTTATTTGAGACATGCATTATCCTTATGACACAAATCACTGCAACCCTATTTGCAAGTTTTATGAAACTCATGTTCTTGTTTGTTCTTTAGGCCTCTGTATGTGACGGTGGTCTACCAGGGGAAGTACTCTCACTGCATGAGGATCGGAGTTGCTGTTCCTCTCAAAAGTACCGTCTATCGCCTGAGAGATGCCGTGTCACGTGAAACCAAGATCCCTCTGGACCAGGTGCTATTCCTGTCTCTTAACAGGGTCTGGCACAGAGAGACTATATTACAGGCACAAAGTGTCGCATCATTGTTTGTTAAACCAGTCCTACCTGCAGTCAGCTCCTAGTAATACTTCAATCTGACGCATTTTTCTCACAACACAACAGAATCTAAGTGCTATCACAATCTGAAAGGCACTGAAAAGTCCTACAAATGACTGTGAATGCATGATGATTTATTTTGGTGTGTTGCTCAATTTTAAATGAACCCGAGTTCTTTTGTTTTAGTTTGTTTTGACAGAAATGTATTACGACGGCTTCCATCGTTCATTCTGCGATGATGACGATGATCTCAACATCATTCAAGAGAGTGATTCCATCTTTGCCTTTGAGACCCCAGAGACCTTCAAACTGGAAAATATACGCACGAAAAGAGGTAACTCGGTTACAGATTTTTTATACCGATTTTGCCTTATCCACAAGACACAAAAACGTTTTTTTAATTTCACAGGGAGCCTTCTGGCAAACCTGAATCACAACAGTTTTCAGTATGGGACAGAAATCAGCAGGACTCCGTCCTTCATGCAGGGGGCAGTGACTCCCGTAACCGGATCGCCCAATAAAAACCTTGGGCCAGAAAAGATGATCCTTTTAGTGTGTAACAGAGCGTGTACAGGCCACCAGGCAAAGAGGTACAGCCGCTAATCATTTGTGATTTTTAAAGACATGTCCGTTCAATTGATAGTCCTGTGGATTATTATCAACTCGTTACCATTTTACTTGATGTTGTTTTTTTAAGGTTTGGCTTGCCTTTTGTTCTGTACATGGAGCGCACTGTGACCTGGGATGCTCTGCAAAAGGAGATCCTGGAAAAAATGCGCCATCTTTTGAGGCCGGGTGTCTACATTCAGGTAAGATGTGGAACATATAAACCTTAAAAAAATGTTTAACCATACAAATTGTCATTAAAATATACAATTGATATTTTGTTGAGTGGGACATGTGAGCGTGAATCTGCGGTCTCTGGGTCTGCAGCTGTGTACTATTGTGGAGTTCACAGAGGGGGAGGCGGGCAAATCCAAGTGTCTTTTTTCCAGCTTGAAGAATTGTCTCAGAAAAATAAGTTATATTCATGTATCTTATATATTTCTTAATAGTGTCAACAGTAATATATCGTATAGTAGGAATGTGAGTCTTACAACAACTCACGATTAAATTTGATTCCGATTCTCTTGGTGTTGAATCGATTCTCGATCATTTTTAGTAGCAAAGAGTGTCAGCTAAGTGTAGAGTAGTAGACTAGTGTGTGTGTGTGTGTGGTCTGAAGAAGTGAGGAAAAAGACAATCCAATGTGTCAGTATATTTGAAACATCTCAAACTAATAAACATGATTCATAACATCCAGTAGCACGTATCCATATAGACCAGTAACAGTTATCATTGAGCTTTCAGACCTACAGGCACTAACTATTCTTAAGAAGCATCAGTAATGCACGGTGCAGTCGGCATGAATCACTCCACACAGGCTAACACCACTTAAACATTATAAAACACAACAGAACTTACTTCTTGACTCATAAATTGCACACAGGATAATAATAAAGGTGAGTCTCTGTCATATTTCAGTAGATTGCAGCGCTGCTAGCACTGGCTCCAGTGATGATGCATTCAGGGACACTCGGAAGTACGGCAGTTTACATAAGGCTTTTAGACAGGATCGATTCTGAATATTTATGAATAAGAATCGCTGTTTGGCTTGAATTGTTTTTTTCATGGACCTCTATCATACACAGGGTATCCGCGGGTCCTTAAAAAGTCTTAAAAAGTCTTAAATTTGCTTTTCCAAATTTAAGGCCTTGAAAATCCTTAAAAATGACAAATAATCCTTAAATCCAGTTTCCAAAGGTCTTAAATTACCAAAGACCCAATAAACAAGATTATTTTATTTCTATAGAAATTTTTGTGAATTTCTAGTTAGTGTTCAGCATTTTTTGTGTACGATGTTGGCGTAGGCGGAACCGTACACATTCAGTTGGTTGTGAAAGGGGGCTGTTTTTAGATGAGCACATTAGCTGGTTAAGCTAGTGGGAGTTTGCGCCATGGGGAAGTGCAAGTTTAATGGTAACTGGATGGCTAATCCCACGTTCACTACGTGGTTAGCACCGGCTCCAGGCAATAGCTGGAACTTATAGCTTAAATTTAATTTTAAAAATAGCTTAAATTTGGTCAAAGTGGCCTTAAAAAAGGTCTTAAAAAGTCTTAAATTTGGCTCCCTTAAACCTTCAGATACCCTGCATACAGTGTGCCTCCTTGCTGTGGATGGTGAAAATGGCGTGATACAGCCCCTTTAAAGGGACAGAGCCTTGTAGGGCTGGACGATATGGCCTAAATTTAATATCACGATATATTGAGGATTTCACCTCGATAATGATAAATGGACGATAACTACAGGTATGCGTAGAAACAAAAGTTGTCCACTAGATGGGGCTGTCACATGAACTGCGTTGAGTCAAATTTTACGGGACTCAAAGTGGTACAGCTTCTTAAAGGGACATGGACGTTGCCAACACATCTTTTTATTTTTAATTATCAAATTTATTGACATGGGAAAAATGATCTCGGTAAGAGTCAGACATTTCGATAACGATACATTTTCGATTTATTGCCCAGCCCTAGAGCCTTGAAATGGCTCATTCTGGACGGCTCTGAAAATTTCCAGAATGAAACAGCTGAAATCGCTTTATGTAAGAGGGATTTTATGCAAAAAACCTCAAAAACATGTTTTATATTGACTGTAGAACTGTTACAGCTTGAGAAAAAAGTCATAATGTGTGTTGTAATAAATAATTCACATGGTGAATTCATAGCATGGATGCATTAATAATGGGGGACCTGTTTTATTCTATGTGTAGGTTGGACCTTTCAGTCTTCGAGTGGTTGGCGTTGTTGGTATTACCTACCTCCTTCCCCAAGATGAACGACCACTGTGTCACCCAACTGTTGAAAGGTCAGCCATGACGATTAACCTTATGTGTGGTAACCTTTACAAGAGGCTGGGCTTGTGACCTAAAACCTGTTTGTACAAACATTTGTATTTTTTACCTGAGAATTTACCTGCGGACATCTTTTTCCAAGTAATTGAAATCAGAGTTTATTTTGTATGATACAATGTAAAATGCTATCTGTCTGTCTATAATACGTGCTGCAAAAGTTACCCTCTTCGTTGTTCTTCAACAAGATCCATGTTAGTTTGATCAGCTTGCAATGATGATGAGTGGAAGTAAAGTCAGCCTGTTTCTAAATGACATCAGTAAAGATGAGCGTGGGTAGAAAATAGAGTGAACTCTGATTTAAGTCCTACTCGCATGCTTCATCAGTTCCACTCATGCCCTAACAGGACTTTAACGGTTTGGTAAAATGCCAGTTTAGCCTGTTCTGCTAATCTATGAGCTTATGTTAAAATAATACACAAGTCAAGAGTATAATCCAGGTGTAAACAATCAGGGTTTTTCTGTCATGTTGTGGTATCTTAGCCTCAAAGTGTTTTCTTATTTGACGCTGAAGTAAAACCAAAAGCACACCACGTTTTCTGGAACACGTTCCTGACACTAGTTTAAATGCTTTACATTTGAGTGTTTTTTTCTACAGAGCGTACAAGTCCTGTGGACAAGGAGGACCTCCTCATGTGAAGATTGTGGTTGAGTGGGACAAAGAGACCAAGGACTAGTGAGTTCAACAACGACACAACAGAGTTAATGATGTATAAAAAAAGAAAGGAGACGTTACAAGCTAGGACTTTTTGACTGAATGAAAGGGTGACGTATGAGTACCCTTCACTGATTCTGAATAAATGTGTTTTCTCTTTGCTTCAGAGACGGCAACAAAATTAGCCACAGACGCAAAAACATCCCTTTTCTGCAAATCTCTGCCTCCTGATGGTTAAGAGGGATTTGCACTGTAGTTAACAGTTTAATAACAGTGAAATGTATCAGTTCAGCACCTGAAACTTTGAGATCATTTTAAGGACTCAAAAATGCTTTTAATTAGATTAATTAGTTTAAATGAAAATTCATATGAGATTGTTCAAGTCGTGGAACGTGAAATGTTCTTGACGCGGTGAGGCACGTCGCTTGTGTTGTTCACTTCTCTGCTGTTTTGTTAACACGCATACCAAGAAGGGATCAATCGGAAGGTTTTTAGGCTTTCCTGGACCCGTTTGTTTTGGCAGCCTTGAATCCGCTCAGGTTTTAATGTTTGCGCGAGCGCTGGGCTCATACGGGCTCCTGCTCTGCTTCAGCAGTTACATCAAGTAAACAAAGACAAGCTCTCACAGTAGACCCAATGATCTCTTCCTGGTTTTGTGAAAACTGAAATGCTCTTGCTGCTCCTGCAGCCTGTTTGGACACACTGAGGAGGAGTATATTCCAGATGCTGAGAGCGTTTATCTGCACAGACAACAACACCATCAGCCGCAGGCCTGCAGCCTCGCTCAGTGCTTACAGCTCTACACTAAGGAAGAGCAGGTAACGCTTGGACTGGAGTAATGCTGTTGGAAACGGTGTGTTTAAGGACTTCAGCTTTATTTTAGGAGTGCTGGAACATTCCAAAATAAGTCTTAAACCCACCCTGCCATTATTGGTTGGTATTAACTGGTGGGATCATATTTGTCTCGTCACACATTGATTAGTTTTCTTGTTTGAAATTCCCAAACCCTTTCAGTCACTGGTTTAACTGTGTTTGAATCTTAATGCTACAGTAGAAATCAGCTAGAGGTTCTCAGCTGAGATGTTTTATACGTTATGGTTTAACTGGCCTCGAACTGTTCTCGAGGAGAGGAAGGAAAATCCTGGCCTCACCCTGTGTGAAGCTAATTTGAAAAGCAGTGTGGTTGAAACATACTCTTCTTTACTGCAGCCTGAGCTGTGTGTGTGTGTGTGTGTGTGTGTGTGTGTGTGTGTGTGTGTGTGTGTGTGTGTGTGTGTGTGTTACTCTTAGCTGGCTCCTGACGATGCCTGGCGCTGTCCCCACTGTAAGCAACTGCAGCAGGGCCGGATAAAGCTGAGCCTATGGACGCTGCCCGACGTGCTCATTCTGCACCTGAAGAGGTTCAGACAGGTATTCTTGCTGGTTTAATTCTAACTCAAACACAAACTGTGGCCAGCGCCTTTTTATGTGTTCTAGTGGTTTATGGGTGCCACGCGTCATAAATAAACTAAAATAAATGCATATTCCTGGTTTTTATTCATATAAATACACATTTAAATGCTTATTGCTTTAAATGTGTGGTTGACCGAAAAACCTTTTTTAATGATTTTATCAGTCACTGAGTTTTTCATGCAGGCTGAACATGAAAATAGTCTCCTACACCTATCTCCTGCATTAGCTTCTGATAGAAAATAAACGGTGAAACTCTATGTGAGAATAACCCGACAGATCTACGTCACACTGTCACTGAATTTTCATGGACTCATCCAGCTTTACTAAAGGACGGGGAAGGCTGTTGTTGGTTTAGTGTCAAGTAAACAGCAGCAGACTAGCAGAAGCTAACCATTAGCATTAGCATCTCCACCACACAGCAGACCTTGTGTTATTTGTGGAGATAAAACATCAATGTTGCCCAGCAAACAAGAGTCAGTGGTAGAGTCGTGTTGCTCATAACCAACGCAAGGTGAGATGTCCAAACATAATAGTCAAAATTAGGGCTGCACGGTATTAGAAAAACCTGCGATATTCGATAACAGTGCTTAATATCGCGATATCGATATTACTCACAATAACTGAACAAATACTAAAGTATGCAGTGTTGATGTCGTCTGGCGTGTGACATCTGCTCTGGGCTCAAAGCAAACAAAAACTAATGCATGAATTCCATTACAACGTAACATTTTTATTGCAAAAATATGCAGCTGCACCTGCTACTGTATTAGCAGCTGCACCTGCTACTGTATTAGCAGCTGCACCCGCTACTGTATTAGCAGCCGCACCCGCTACCGTATTAGCAGCTGCACCTGCTACTGTATTAGCAGCTGCACCCGCTACCGTATTAGCAGCTGCACCCGCTACCGTATTAGCAGCTGCACCCGCTACCGTATTAGCAGCTGCACCCGCTACTGTGTTAGCAGCTGCACTTGCTACTGTATTAGCAGCTGCACCTGCTACTGTATTAGCAGCTGCACCCGCTACCGTATTAGCAGCTGCACCCGCTACCGTATTAGCAGCTGCACCCGCTACTGTATTAGCAGCTGCACCTGCTACTGTATTAGCAGCTGCACCTGCTACTGTATTAGCAGCAAAACAACATACTGCATGCATGCAGTTTCTCAGTGACTTTAAAACATCACCTCCACCATAAAACTTTTTCTGATGCTCCAAATACAGAAAAACGTCCCTTACCAGGGTTTTTTTGAATAAATAAAAAAATCAGAAAATAAGTTTAAATGTTAAATAATAGTTAACATCACTTAAATGCAACAGCAAATTCTCTCATTGCTACTGAGCATTTTCTCCACTTATGTGGTTATGATATAAGGCTGTTGCTGTAATTGGGAAGTGATCTGTGCTGGACCAAACTAGGAGAATATTAAGACTTTCTGAGGGAAAGAGAAAAACAATTATCTACCTTTCAGAAGAGGAACTGGCAAAAAACTACATGGAAAATATGTGAAAACGTTTGTTTTTATCCCCAAATTGAACAAGTTTACCTAGATCTTAAAAAGCAGCTCAGATGATGAAACTGCAACTATGATTCTGATAACAAGCTAACAAATTGAACTAGCTCCTCTAAGCTAACCGGCTAGCAGAGCTTCTGACTGACTGTTTGTGTGCAGCAGTAAATCAACTATCCTGATTAACAAGGTTATAAAAGCTCATAAATGAAAAATCACTTTGATGTGTGGGGGAACTTTTCCAGGCCCTCTTTAGCAGCTCAGGGTGGGACTGGGAGGAGAGTGCTGCTGTAGCCTTTTAGCTGGAAGCTAACCGGAGCCTGGGGCCTAAGGTGGGTTGGTTCACCGGCACGTGTCGGAGTCAGCCCGGTTATTATCAGCTGCCTAACGACACCGAGCGGACTCACGTTCACGTTTGAAAGCAGCGCTGATTCCAGAAACCTCAGCACAAAGCGCGTTTGTTAATCTGAGCCAGCATGACGAACAAGGGAACGGCGCCGCTAACTCAATTTGGGTGTTGCGTTCGGCGTTCCACCCATCCTAAGGGTCTGTGTAGGGGGTGGGCCTATTACGTGAACGGACCCATCTGATTGGCCGCATATCAGAAGGGCTACATTTGATTGGTCAAATAATACTTCCGCGTAAAAAACAGAGCTGGTTTACAAAAAGTTGATGAATGACACGGATGGAAATGTTTGAACCAAACATTTATCGCCGTTTTTGACGTGCTTTGCGATGGGCCAATCGCACGTCCTGTTATGGCGAGGACGATAATTTTTCGATATACTGTGCAGCCCTAGTCAAAATCCTGTCGTCTGAAGCTCAGCTATGATGTGGCTCATTTATAGCTCCTGAAACTGGTGCGCCAGAGCTTTGTTTCCCCAAATAGGACTTGTAAGGCATTCGTTCCTTCTAGAGACCACTGCAAATGTAATGACTAAACGAGTGCTTATTTTCTGTTGCAGTGTTTTAATTTTACATTTGGCCTTAAGACAAACACTTACTGTAACTCGCTGTGATGGATAGAAAATGCAGAAACAATGAGTCTCTTCATGTGCGTCAGCTATCCTGCTACTTCTGGCATTTATGTTTTCCTATTGCTTAATGTAAAAAAAACTAATTGTTGTACATTCTGTCTGAAGAACAACATAACAAGGAATCTAAGTGGACGGCTGAAACGTTAACCTTCTAGTCTGCTTTTTGCCTCCAGGAGGGGGATTGGAGGGTGAAGATGCAGAACATGGTGAGGTTCCCACTCATGGGGATGGACATGGCTCCACATGTGGTCAAAAGAAGCCAGAGCAGCTGGAGTTTACCCTCTCATTGGTCACCATGGAGACGGTCCTATGGCCTTGGAAGAAACCCTGATGACTTCCTGTATGACCTGTACGCTGTGTGTAACCATCATGGCAACATGCACGGAGGCCACTACACCGGTAACACAAACGCTGTTTCAAGTTTACACGTGACGACTGTCAAAATTAGTTCCTCGTTTATTTTCATCTTCGCTTTGTGTTCCCAGCTTACTGCAAAAACTCTATAGACGGTCAGTGGTACTGCTTTGATGACAGTGAGGTGTCACCCGTAGCTGATGACGATGTTTGTCAGCAGACGGCGTATATTCTGTTTTATCAGAGGAGGACTGCTATTCCCTCCTGGTCTGCCAACAGCTCTGTTGCTGGTCAGTATCTCTTTCTAACTGTTGGATGTTTACTGACTAAATGAAGCTCATTTTAATGATGTGAAACTTTTAAATCTTTTTGCTAACTTGTGACGGGCTCGACACACGGGAGGCGACAAATGACCACGATCAGCGAACTTTGTCGCTTTTATTACCTGACACACGGGAGGCGATCTGCGGCCAGCGGCAAAGCCGTCTACGCCTTCTGTTCCATGGCGAAATCGAAACTTCTGTTGTTTTGTTTGGCTGTGTCAGGTTGGAGGGAATTAAGGTTATTTAAGCGGTTCAGAGTTAATAAAGCGGTAGATATGATGTTTCACAAGGTGCTGCTAGAGTTATGTGAAATCTTACTTCAGATTTTACTATAAAAACATAATAATAATCAACTTCTCCTTCATGTTTGCTCGGAGGTGTACGGAGCATCCTGTCCGCTCATTGGTCAGTGAATGAAAACCTCCGTTGGTCCTCGTCCCAGCAACAGTCATGAAAAGTTGAAAATGTTTCAACTTTCTGGAATCGCGTCGCTGGGTCACCTGTGCGTGACACGTGCACGAGCGCAAAATTTCACTCACGTTTTTCGCGTTTCGCTTGGTAGGAGGGAGACCCGCGATTATCGCTTTGTCGCGCATGTCTCATTGAAAATGAATGGAGGAGAGGCGATGTCGCCTCCCGTGTGTCGAGCCCATGAGTTTTATAGCGATTGATCTTTTCCTCAGGTTCCACCAGCTCGTCCCTATGTGACCACTGGATTAACAGGCTGCCTGGCAGCAGACCTGCTAGCTTGGCCTCAGGAGCCTCTTCCAGACGCACGTCTCTGGCTTCGCTAGCCGAGTCAGTAGAGTTTCCCGCAGAGCGTAATGAGGATGATGGTGAGCCTGCTTTTATTGACCATCTTCGGTCAATCGTAATTCCTTCAGACATGCTATTAGTATTTATATTCAACTTAATTATTGGGATGCACCGAAAATTCGGCCACCGAAGAATTCTGGCTGAAACACCTAAATTACAGAAGCAGGCCATCAGGTGAACTCTGTTTTTGTTTGATCTTGCTCCGCCCTCATGTGGCATCTTGCTCTTGGCTTCATAAAAATCGTACATTCATACTGATTCAAAGGTAAAGTTTTCCCCTTTTAGTAATGCTGTTACGATCACTAGGATAGTCATATCAATTATGTGACGCCTCTGCGCTGCTTTCTTTTACATTCCTGCCACGTCTGTCATCATTAGCTATGTTTTAGCATCTTTTCTACACCCGCCATGTCCTGAACGCGGTGAAATAAGCTTAAGATCATGTGTGTGAAGCGTGTTTACTCTCATGAAGCACTCTATTGCTGCTGCGCAGCTGCAGCCTCACGTTCTTTCTCACTGAACGAGTGAATATTACTCTTCAGAACCAGAGTCAGCCATTACCAAAGAGCTTTATCAACAATGAACAGACCTGGCAGCATTGAAAGTTTCTCCTCTCTAATATAATAATATTTGCCCTCTGTTTGCTCTGCTCGTCTCCTCCCCTCAGTTGGGAACCTCCTCATGGGAGGCAGATTTCAAACCCTAATACCCTGAACATTTTAGTAGAAACATCCAAAATCGTTGCTCAGATTGAAGTTGCATAAAGTGGCCAGCATAAATGAGTACACCCCACTACATTTGTCAGAAAACAATTAGCTTCCTTTCTGAATCAACATTTTCTATGAGATACCATACTACAAAACGATCCCACAAATGTGGGCCATTGATTTCAAACAAGATTTGTTAATTTGCACAAACAAAAAAGTGATTTTCCTAACAAATCCATTCAAGCTCATGTTGCAAAATGAGTACAGCCCAATCATAGTCTTAGGAGAAAAGCCACACTTAAGATTAGAGAGTTCGAATTAACAGGCATTCAACCACAAGTCTAATGATTCATTTAAGAGGTGTCAAGCAGACAGGTGATTATAAAAGTGTATAACTTAAGAAAAGCCCATTTCATGCTGTCAGCAGTGGCTCTACATGGAAGAGAAATGTCACAAAATCTGAGAAAGGAAATAATATCTTTACACAAAAAAGATGAGGGCTACAAGAAGATCAGCGATGTTTTACATATCAGTCAAAATACTGTAGCAAAAGTGATCCAACAATTTAAGAAAGATGGAAGTGCAACCATCTTACCGAGATGCCCAGGCTGCCCTTGGGAGTAAACATCTGGACAGGAGCGTCTTCTGATGAGAAGTGTTGAATAAAATCGCCATGAAAGGTCACTGCTGTTAGCTAAAGCAGTAGAAAGACAAACTGGAGTGATCATTTCCCGTGACACCATAGGGCCCATACTGCAGAGGAATGGCATGCATGGGTATCAGTCACGAAGGAAGCCTCTCCTAAAGCCCATACACAAAAAGCACACCTAGGATTTGGTAGGGCCCATGCTGAAAGAGATGAAGGCTACTAGAACTCTTTACTCTGGAGTGATGAGACAAAGATCACTGTTGTTGGAACTAACGGTTTCAAAACTACATGGCGTTGTAAAGGTGAGGATTTCAAAGAGAAATTAATGGTGCCTACAGTGAAGCATGGTGGTGGCAGTGTCCATATGTGGGCTGCATGAGGGTTGCTGGTGTTGGGGGACTGCATTTTGTTTATGTTATCATGAACTCAACAATGTACTGCTCTATACTGAAGGAGAAGATGCTGCCATAACTCGGTGCACTTGGTCATTGTTCACTTTTCCAACAATAATGATCCAAAACACACCTCTAAAGCTACTGTGTTGCATTTCTGAAGAAGAACTGGGTGAAGGTGATTGAAAGTTAAGTATGTCTCCTGATCTGAACCCAATCGAAAAACATAGATGGTACAATATGCCGCCAACTTGTTCATTCCATGCCTAGAAGACTTGGTACTGTCCTTGAAAATCACGGTGGCCGTACAAAATACTAGATGTAGTAGTGTTACTTGCGGGGTGTATTCATTTTTGCTTCAACAAATTTTAGTAAAACTGAAGATAGAAGTTACATTATTAACCTTAGTTTCATGTTGTGGAGTTAAACAAGTGTTCAGTCAGAGCCGGCCTTGTGAAAAATCTGAAAATTGTTCTTCTGTTCATTGAGCTACTGATTAAATTTGCACTTCTTAAAGGGAGTGTAGTAATTTATGCTATACACTGTATTTGCAGTTGTGGCTTGTTAAATGAAATATTGGCACTTAAATGGGTAATTTCAGTCCTCAGCAGGCCTTTCAGTTCTAAGCACTTACATTTATAATTTATTATTTTTATTTCAATTCAAGTTTATTTATATAGCGCCAAATCACAACAAGAGTTGTCTCAAGGCACTTCACATAGTAATTTATAATTGTTATTTAAAGTACTCAAGTGGCGTCAAGAGAAACATTTAATTTTGAGATTTATTTTATATTTTATGTCAGTGCTCAATAAAAATTGTCATGGTTTTGTTACTGATTTATTGCAATGCCTTGATTTTATCATTTATCATGTACCGTTATTAAGATCCTATTGTCTGCCCTTAACAGCTGCCCCTTCACACAGTAACAACGTGTAGGAATCGCCAAGGTCGGATGCTGGTTTCAGTATGTTTACATTCCAGGAGAAGAGACAGAAGAAGAGAAGAAGAACGCTTTCCATTAATTAATCAAAGTACTTTATTTGTGAAAAAGCTAATCAAAGCATATGTTGATCAATAATAGTCAGGTGAATGATCTGTGACATAAAGATGTCATGAGTTATGTGTTTAATGAATAAACAGGACTGCACCAGACAGACTGATCTACATTAACATGGAAACGCATGACACATTGTTCTCAACCAATCAGAACTTTCGTCTGTCGTAGGCAGAATCTGGCTTGTTTAATGAAGTTGTCCAATCCGGTGTACTAAGATTTGTAAACAACTAGGGGATATAAAGTAAGGCAACGCCATTTTAAAGGCAGTCCCATCTTAACCTCAGCTCTGTTCGATCTGAGTTCCAAAGGAGTTACATCATACTCTCAACGTAGTTTTCAACCAGCTCTCGATCCATCAGCTTAAAGTAGAAAGTGCATCTGGCCAGGCTGCACCTCTCTTTTGCGGTGATTATTGATCAACATATGCTTTGATTAGCTTTTTCACAAATAAAGTACTTTGATTAATTAATGGAAAGCGTTCTTCTTCTCTTCTTCTGTCTCTTCTCCTGGAATGTAAACATACTGAAACCAGCATCCGACCTTGGCGATTCCTACACGTTGTTACTGTGTGAAGGGGCAGCTGTTAAGGGCAGACAATAGGATCTTATTAACGCTACAATCATTAGTGAAGTTAGTACACATTGTAGCCATAAATGCTATGGTTCTTATTATTGAAATAGTAATTTATTTCTGTGTTTCAGTTTTTGGCCTTGGTTTCCTCATTTTCGGTTTCAGCCAAGAATTTTCATTTCAGTGCATCCCTACTTAATATTCTGGTCAAAACATTGTTGAAGCAAACATTGAGAGTTAAGGATGTTTTTTAGTTGGTAAAAATACAAATTTCACAGGAACAGTGAAGTTTAATCCAGAAGAAAATAGAAAGTTAGTTGAGCATTACTTTAATGAGCAGGGCAATGCTTTTAAGGACATGTTTGTTTTTCTCCTAAACACTCAGTCAGATTAAACAACCAACGATGTTGTCTTGTCATATTTTTTTCCACAAAAGGAGCAGACTGTAGTCATGTTGGCTTCTAAATTCACATACAGTTATATTAAAGGTATTCTGACCCTTACTGTAAATTCACAGCTTCTCTAACAAAGCTGCTGGTCATAAAATTAGAATATCACGGCAAAGTGGATTTATTTCAGTAATTCCGTTCAGAAAGTGAAACTTGTATATTAGATTCATTCATTACACACAGACTGATTTATTTCAAATGTTTAATTCTTTAATTTTGTTGATCATAACTGATTATAACTAATAAAAAAACACATTTGATGTCTCATAATAATAGAATATTGGGAAAAGGTTCAAAACTGAAGACCACTTTTGGCAAGCTCTAATCAGCTAAATAACCCAAAACACCTGCAAAAGCCTTTAAAAGTTCTCTCAGTCTAGTTCTGAAGGCTGCACAATCATGGAGAAGACTGCTGACTTGACAGTTGTCCAAAGCACGACCACTGACACCTTACACAAGGAGGGCAAGACAGAAAAGGTCATTGCTCAAGAGGCTGGCTGTTCAGAGCTCCGTGTCCAAGCACATTAATAGAGAGGTGAAGGAAGGACAAGATGTGGTAGAAAAAATGTACAATAGGGATAACCGCACCCTGGAGAGGATTGTGAAACAGAACTCAGTCAGAAAAGTGGGGGAGATTCACAAAGAGGCTCCAGGGGTGGATGAGATCCGCCCGGAGTTCCATAAGGCTCTGGATGTTGTGGGGCTGTGTTGGCTGACGCGGCTCTGCAATGTCACGTGGACATCAGGGGCAGTCCCACTGGACTGGCAGACCGGGGTGGTGGTTCCCTTATTTAAAAAGGGGGACCGCAGGGTGTTTTCCAACTACAGGGGACCGCATCCCTCGGGGGGTCCTGTGGGGGGGTACTCCGGGAGTATGGGGTACCAGGACCTCTGATACGGGCTGTTAGGTCCCTGCATGACCGGTGTCAGAGCTTGGTTCGCATTGCCGGCAGTAAGTCGAGCTCGTTCCCAGTGAGAGTTGGACTCCGCCAAGGCTGCCCTTTATCACCGATTCTGTTCATAACCTTTATGGACAGGATTTCTAGATGCAGCCAAGGTGCGAGGGGCATCCGTTTTGGTGACCCGAGGATCAGGTCTCTGCTTTTTTCAGATGATGTGGTCCTGTTGGCTTCATCAGAACGTGATCTTCAGCTTTCGCTGGAGCGGTTTGCTGCCGAGTGATCAGCAGCTGGGATGAGAATCAGCTCCTTTAAATCTGAGACCATGGTCTTGATTCGGAAAAGGGTAGAATGCCTTCTCCGGGTCAGGGATGAGGTCCTGCCCCAAGTGAAGGAGTTTAAGTATCTCGGGGTCTTGTTCACGAGTGAGGGAAAACTGGAGCGTGAGATTGATAGGTACTGCGGATTGGTACTGCATCTGCAGTGATGCAGGCGTTGTACCAGTCTGTCGTGGTGAAGAGAGAGCTGAGTCAGAAGGCAAAGCTCTCGATTTACTGGTCGATCTACGTTGCTACCCTCACCTATGGTCATGAGCTTTGGGTAGTGATCAAAAGAACAATATCGCGGATATAAGCGGCCAAAATGAGTTTTCTCCGCAGAGTGGCTGGGCTCTCCCTTAGAGATAGGGTGAGAAGCTCGGTCATCCGGGAGGGGCTCGCAGTAGATTCACTGCCCCTCCACATCGAGAGGAGCCAATTGAGGTGGCTCGGGCATCTGGTCAGAATGCCTCCTGGACGCCTCCCTGGTGAGGTTTTCCGGGCACGTCCAACTGGGAGGAGGCCTAAAGGTAGACCCAGGACACGTTGGAGGGACTATGTCTCTCACCTGGCCAGGGAACGTCTTGGAATTTCCCCGGAGGAGCTGGCCCAAGTGGCTGGGGAAAGGGAAGTCTGGGCCTCTCGACTTCGCTACTGGCCCCGCGACCCGACTTAGGATAAGCAGATGAAAATGGATGGATGGATGGGTCAGTTATAATCATCAAAATTAAGGAAATGAACATTTGAAAAAAATAAATAAATAAATAACAGTCTGTGTGTACTGAATGAATCTAATCTACAAGTTTCACTTTTTGAATGGAATTGCTGAAATAAATCATTTTTGCCAAGATGTTCAAATTTTGTGACCAGCAGCTGTATTCACGCTAGTGAGAACATAACAGAAATAATGACTTCTTGTTGTAGCTTTTATGCTACGACTGATGGGAAACATAATTCAGATTAACTAGTTATAACTTAATACTGCTCACAAATCTGACTTGGGGTTAGTGTTTCCAAATGTTGTGTTTTAGTTGACTAGCCTTTTTGTTCGAATATACTGGTACATTTATTAACGATCTGTATTTACACTAATATTATTTACAATTAAGACTTCCAAAACATTTCTAGTTAACTTTTATCAGGAATAAAATAGCTTTAAAATGTTAAGTTATTTATTTTCCTTCTATAACAAAAACAAATGTCTTTCTGAAATGTTTCCTGTTTTAGGAGGGTTCTCTGTCCGCCCATTTGTAAGAAGCATTCAGCGCCAGAGCTTGTCCTCCAGGTCGTCTATCGCTAGTCCTTTAGCCTTCTGTGACAGCGGGATAAAGCCTTCCTGGTCTCTTTCTGCCAAGCTTCAAATTAGATCCAACTCGCCCTCACGTTTCTCCCTCGACTCCCGCTGTTCCCCTCCTCTGGAGAGGATTGGAGAGGTGTGCGATGACAAGGTTTCCACATCTTGTTTTGGCAGCTACAGTAAACATGAGCGCTACTTTGGCAGCAGGACTCCTTTGTCCATGATGGAGAGCAACTTCAGTGACCACGACAATGGCAAAAGATTCGTAGACATGGTGTACTGCAGGGCACCCACTCCAGTGGAGAAGACCAATAAAAACGAGGCAACTGAAAACAACAACAAGATCACAGCTGTAGATCAATACACACTACCTAGTCAAGCTACGCCCTCCAAAGAGCAGAAACGAAAAAGTAGTATTGGAGGATTTGGCTTGAAGTCAGAAAACACCGGGTCCACCAAGAGTTCCAACAAAACAGAGCAAGAAAAGACCTCCCGAAAACGGCTGTGCTCAACCCTCAAGAACCCCGCTGCAGACCCTTCTTCCAGTACACCGACTAAAGGCAAAAAAGTGAGCAGCACTAAAGAAAACACCTCAAATGTTAAGAAAAGCACCTCAACACCCAGTGGAACCCCCTCCAAAACTAAAACCTCAAACCCACTTTTAGACTCAACGCCACAGCATAAGCCAAGTACTCGCTCTACACCTCAGTCTTCAGCTTCTCCTTCTCCTACCGCAAAGAAAAACCTGAGTCCCACTGAGAAAGGTTCCACGAGCAGCCGGAAACGACTGGTAGAGAGGAGTTACAGCAAAGACTCAATGCTCACCAGCCCCTTGGTCGACAGCCTCCGAAGCAGCTGTGCATCTCGTTCTTCACTTTCCAAAACAGAGGACGTAAATCGGGCCGAGAGGAGGTCCGTGAGAAGCTCCAGCAGCAATTCTTCTGTCACTAGCCTGCGCTCACCCAGCGTGTCCACTAGAGACCTGCAACGTAGCAGCAAGTCTGAGGAAAAAGGGTTGTCTTTCTTCAAGAGTGCCCTTCGACAAAGGGAAAATCGCCGGTCGGCCGATTTAGGCAAAAGCACATTGCTGACCAGGAAGACCTCAGAGAGGACATGTAAGCAGAATGGACAAGCCAAGGAGATGGACAATGATGATCCAAAGACTGAAGATGCTGTATCTTTGAAAGCATCTGAGACTCACAGAGGTGAGCCCAAGTCAGAGAAACAGGAGTCTTCCAAACCCCCAAGCTCTCTCAGTCGCACTCTACTAAACGTGGGAAAGTCCAAGTCTTCCACCTCAGATGTAAGTAGCAAGTCCCCTGCAAACGGAAAGAAGCCTCTCGAAAGGAAGGCATCTTCTCGAAAGCTGTCATCGACCATGCAATCTCCTGCACGAACAGCACAGAGGCCTAAATAATACATCTGTGGTAAATATGTTCAACATATTGTGCAGCTTATTACTTTGTGCCTAGATTTTAGTTAGCAGATGTATCTGAGATGCAGCGTTTTGAGGTTATGACTCTGTGTAATTGTGTAATACCCCTAGAGGCGTATTTTAACTTTGATATTTGAGTATCGTGGTCATCTGGAGTTTTTTCAAAAATGTTTTAGCTGAGGTAAACTCGCTAATTTTATAATACAGCAACAGCATAAACTTTTTAAATTCACGGTCTAAGAAATATCCACCCACTCTACTGCAGTGGTACGTAGTTTCTGTTAGAGAAACATGTTTTAGGTGAAATAGGCTGATGATTCTGCTGCTTTACCATTTGAAAGTCAAAAAGGTACAAATACACAAAATCATCTCATCAAAATCAGCCTCTTATACACAAAATCAGCTCATAAACATTCACAGATTTAAGAGTTTCATTCCAAAAATAATTGCAACCCTATGTTTTTTCATTAGCAATTTTCACTTTATTCCACGGGTCAGTAATGACCTTTGTTTTCAAAGGCTAAAGCAATGGATGGAGAGACATTAGTACTGTAGAACATTAGAAGTAATCCCTCGAGCCTTTAGGAGTAGGAACAAACACATCTTTATTAGGAGTTTAAATGAGGATGATGGTGGACCTGGACCAATACAAAAGTCATAGGGTAATGAACTGTGGAAGTATACCAAAATTTTTAAAGTACTTTTTGATAAAGAAGTTTTTTATGCACCTATGTAATTTCCTATGTTTTGGAATGAAACCCTTTAAAGTAAATGAACATATGTTGGATCTCTACACACTCTGTTAATAGTGTGTAGCCTGTTTGTTTTTCTCCATGAGCAAAAGGAAAATGATCGTAAGCGCCTTTCAATGCTGCACATGAAAACAAATAATAACGGTAGTCTTGTGACGTGCGCGTCGCTGGTAGGAATGTTCCTTTGGTAGCACTTTGTACAGATATTAATGTATGATGATAGTCTTCAGCCTTCGAAAGGCACATTCATCTCAATGTTTCTACAGTAATTCCTCCTTTAATACACCTGGTGCTGGAACAGGCCACTGCTCTACTGGCACTGATGGGTTTCCAATAAGTTTATCTTCATATGATGATGATCAGAACTGTAAATGGACATCTCGGAAAAGCTGTTTCATTTTAACCTTTGGTACCTCGTTGGAGATGTGATCTTTGCCGTCTTCATTACTAGAGCATCGATTTTGAGCCATTAGATTTGTTAAAGTACAGAAGCGAGACTCTCCAAATGCGGACATGTCTGCCAAACTATCTGAAATGATGTGGCAGTTTTACTGTAAAATGCTAGAAGCTAAACGAGGAGCAGGCTATTATCCCAGCAGCAGTCATTAGGCTAGTCCTGGTTTAGATCTGATGTTGCTGTAAAACTGCCCCACCTATACGGGCAATACTCTCACATCCGATACCAGCAGTGGATATGTTTTCAGCCATCAACTGTGAGTATACTGCAGAATCACTTTGTACTATACGTGGTTTTTGTTTAAGATCAACAATAATTAATGTATCAGTAGCATCTGTCAGGTTTACGGTCATCCTTTTGATGTTTGAGGAAATGCCACCTTTAAGCAGCACTGTGTTATTGAAATGGCTTGGGCAGGGTTTTGTTGGGGTTTCTGGGGTTTTGGTCGGTGTTGGGGTGAAATAATGTTAAGTCAGGTTTCTGATTCACCTCTAGTAGGTTAAACTATTGTTTGGCTAAATAAAGCCTACACACGCAGAAAAACGTTTAAGACAAAGTGACTGTAGTTTTAAATGTTTGTCAAAAAAAGCCTGTTTCAGACGCGACATCTAGAGACATTTAGTATGACTCTTCCCTGGCTATCAATGATTTAGGTCAAGATAATTAGGTGGTTATTTTTTCATTTTTTTATTTTTTCTGTGCACTCATCACTTTTCTATAAACCAGGCTGAAGGAATAACACGTGTTTGAAACCAGTGGTTTTTCCCTCTTGCTGCTTTTGAAACTTCTATCAGGAACACGTTCATAGCACTTTGGACTCAGAGCAGGACACGTTTTTTTTGTGAATTTACTTTCTGTAATCTTTGCCACTTTTGTAAAAAAAACTTTTTGTTTTATTTTAGAGCTGGCTCGTACTATATTACATTCACATGCTCATTTATGGAACTGTCAGATTGAACATAAACATAAAATATATAATATTAATCTATTCATATAACCCAGTGCATTAGGATATGATGCCCTTTATTTTGTCTACTTTTTATTAGGGGTGTAAAGGACGGTGTGACAATCTGCAACATAAGACTTATTCAAAATATATTCATAACATGTAAATATAGATGATAGATTTAAGTGGCATCAGCTTTTATGCAACTTTTTAGTTGTATTTATAATCGATACTAGAATCTGCCCCCCCCCCCCCCCCCCATTTCACTACATTGCCAAAATTCTCACATGTAAACAATAACTAGGCCTTGCATGTGAGGATTCTCTCTTTCAGATTTTATTAACAAGCTTCTCATCCTGCAGAAATTTGGTGGATTAATTCTGTCTCGACAGACTAAAGCCGGGCGTACGCTGTGCGACTTTTTCACTTTTTTGAGCCGATTTTCCAGTCGTGCGAGAATCCACGAGGTCGGGGCGAGTTTTGCTCCGAGCGTCGTGTAGTGTACAGGGGGTTACGAGAGGCGATTAACACCACGTGACCAGCTAACGATCAGCAATCGTGAGCTCGCACAAACTTCTGGCGTGTTTAATATTTTGCTCGTCCCTCGTGAGGGTATCACACTGTTGAAGCGGCGCTGCAAGCAGCTGCGACCCAAAAAGTACCAGAACCGCTCACAGCGCATGCGCAATCATGTATCAACACCGCTCACCCGCAATTTCCCTAATAACACACGTTGTTCGTTTTTGTTTCTACACGTTTTTTTACTCACAAAGATTATCAAGAAAGCGTGTTTGTCGTGTTCATGTCAAATTAAACTGATCACAAAACACAGATTTACTTTCTTTATTTCGTTTTCCTCATCCAACCCCCATAAATCCCTGTGTGTCCTCCTGCAGCACTCCCGAAGGACAACAGGCAAGACAAGACAAAAAAAGTCTGACGTGTTGAGTAAAAACTGCTATTTTTAGCACATTTTTAGGGCCGACGTGTTGCTACCAGACGTACAGTGTGAGCAATCAGGTCGCATCCGAGAACTGGGTCGTGCAGTGTGAGCACATGACTCGTGAGATCTGCCCTGCGAGGAAATCGTACAGTTTGAGCTGAAGCTGAGTGCTACGAGTGAAAAAGTCGCACAGTGTCCGCCCGGCTTTACACACCGACTTGCAACTAAATCACTCTATTCATATACACTTTTTCTGTTTTCTTCATCCTTCCTGCCCAGGGCCCTCATTTATCAACCGTACCTATGCAAAGATCTGTGTGCATGTTTTACTTGTGTGTATTCCTAAATATAAGAAAACCTCTGATCAAGCTTACAAACAGCCTCTAGTGGTAGAACGAGGGAGCTGCAACACCAAAGGTCATCCATACATGTTCCTCATCCACTAATTATTTTACCCAATAAATAATTATTTTGGTGGAACAGCTGTGCTAAAACCTATTTAAGACACCTGTGACCGACAGGAATCTGAAATTGTAGCATGGCTTACTTTGTGTTATTTTTTAATAATCTTTACTCTTCCCATTTTTATGACATTTTAATCATTTTAATTTATTTATTATAACTTCTTTATTTAATTAATGTTTGTGTTCTTGTGAAGCACCTCGTGATTTTCATCTTGAGATGTGCTTTATGAAAGATTGTTTTTTTATTATTGGAGAATTTGGCAGAGCGTGCAATCAAGAGGGGACGGCTCCTCCCGATCTCCAGGACCAGAATTAAATTTCCCTGCTCAACAATTTATCATATTAATTTTTTTATTTATTTCTGATGAGGATCTCTCCTCTATCCTGACCACGTTTATAACCTCTGCCAACATTTTTGCTTCTTTTGCACTTTGGCAGCCAGTTTCTCAATCTCTCTGTCAATAAAGTTGTCTTTTTTAAAATATTTTTTGGGAAGGACCTATATTAATGTCGATGGGAAGGACCCAGGGAATTCCTTTATGAGCTGCTGAAGACATGATGTAACTGAATATTTACATACAGAAATGCTCATTTCTGTATGTAAATGAGCACCTGGGTATGCACAGGTGGGATTTATCATCAGACGATTGCAGACGAACGCGCGTATGCGTGGCCACCGCATGTTTCATTAATCAGGATTTCACTGTTTGTACGAACATTCTAAACTTCGTTCATAGGAAGAAAAATAGAAATATTTCTACGATTGTTTGATGAATGAGGCCCCTGGCATCTTGCTTCTTACCTTGCAGTGGATGTCTACTTTTGATTTAGTAAATTTGTCAAAATGTACAGAAATGAACCTGGTTGCAAATTTCAGTATTGCATGATAAGACTAATGCATGCATTTATCAACTATGCAAGAATCTGCAGCTGTGTAGTGTATAAGCAGTGCATGGCTGATATATTCCATGGCTTAATTTGCACACCATTTCCATATTTCTTAAATATGAAATACAAATACTTCATATCTGTGTAAACTGACTAAGCTTAAAAAACCTGACCTGTAAAAAGGTCTCTAATGACATCATGGATTGTTTATTTTTTTTATTTGTATTCTGATCTTTTTTAGGTGCTTCTATACCGATCTGGTGGGTTTAATGTCTTTAATATTTCCTGTTGTACACCAGCAGAGATAACACTATGGATGCGATAATCTGTACATGGTTACTATGTAGACTCATGATATGTGCCGATGTGTTGTGGAAAGCCTTCTAATCATTTTCTCTTGTCATAGGTTTGTGTACACCTGGTGCCATGCATCAAAGATGTGGTTTATTTCTAAAATAAAAAAATACAATATGAATGATAAAGGTAGCTAAATGCAATAATTAGAGATAGTGAATTTAGTTTTGTAATACAGTACGTTATGAAAACAGCAAATATTTATTGCTTGTTAGTCATTGCAGTAAGAGTTTCTGAAGCATATTAATCATCATTAATTGTAAACAGGCAGATTTTTTAAATTAAGGTGTTATTTGTGACGTGTGTCTGATGTATTTCTATTGAGTTCTGGTGTCGCTGTCCACACCACAAATAGGTTCAGCTTTTTTAAAGGGTTTTGCACCATTTCCTGCATAATGAGTTGCATTGACTCCAAGAGCTAAAGTCGACATCCTGGCAACAGATTTACAGTTCTGCACATTCTGTGGCATTACAAAAACAAAGGCTGGTGGCTTCTGGAAGAGACTGCTTGATAATAAAGTTTAACAATGCATTGATGGCCTTTTAGAGCCTTTTAAAACATGTAAACACTATGATGCTGAAGCCTTATGAGCAAAGGAAGTCTTGCTGAATAATTAGGTAGCTGTGTTATGAAAGAATGTCATCTGTTTTATTTTTTTAAAGTTATTGTAAATTAACACTCAATGCATAGAATGTCTTCTTTGAAATATTTAAAGCATTTGGTAAAACACAGTATATTGCACATTGTTGAATTTTAATGCATTCCTTGTTTATTATTGCCTAAAGCTGCATCATATCTTTGATTTTAGCAAATGCCTGTTCATGTTTTCCGACTACATTTGGTAGTTTTTTAAAAGAAATTTAAATTCTGTTAATTTATTATTTTTTATTCTTTTTTATTGCATTTACACATTTGTTTTTGTTATTTCATTCAAGAGTACAGTCGTGTAAATACTTTGATGGTCTATCCATGCAAGTACAGAAATAAAAAAAATCTGTTTAAACTTTAAAGTATCATCTGGCAGATCTTTTTTTTAAATGAAAAAAAAAATGCTTCTGGAGTGGTATTTGAATTCCACCACTAGGTGGAGCATTTCTCTAACAAATTGCCCTACGGATGGTTAGTCACAATTCTTGCATCTAGAAAGATTAGCTGATAAAACATTAGATTTAATGTTATTTTGTTTCAGCTGTGATCGACTAACCCTGGAGACTCTTGGTGTTTCATCTTGAAGGTGAAATGATGATAAAACCTTTGTTAAGGTCATAGTTTTCCTACACAGGTCACAGTCTGCTACCATAAAAGCTTTTCTAACAACAAAATGTGACGACTACACCAGCAGAAAACACACGGAAGGTGTTTTATTCTAACGCTCCAATTTCCCCCTCCATTCATCCTGTTTAGAGCCAGGTAGGTTTGTGCACCAGAGTGTACAAGCATACAAATCTTCTGCTTATTGTCTCCCAGCTGCAGAGAATAAGAGTTATCTGAGATCTCAAGGCTGAGCCATGCATGAAAGGCTCTAAATTTCTGTTATTTCAGGCTTTTCCTGGTCCCACTGGATAAAGGTGCAGGAAGAGGAATGTGCAGATGCAAGCGTGTCTGAGCTGAGCTGTTGTCAAAGACGTGGGTACTAATTTTACCGACAAACTGCATTTAACCATTTAGTTACTTTTCTTCAACGAAGTTCTTTTTAAATATGAAAGAGAGGAAATGTACATGTGCAGATTTCTGCTAAAATATATACTGGTTCATATTTATCAGTGGCTAGATGTCCAGTGTATCAATAAAATGTTCCATAACCATTGTATGGTGTGTTTAGACGGAATGTATTCTGCCATACAAAACTTTAAAATCACTGGAAATACAGATTTTCGCAGATGTTGAAAGACTGAATATAAAACCAAAACCAAACCAATGAATGAAAGCCAAGGACATATTTGCTAAGAAATGATTTATTATTTATTTTGAAAGCACTGACAGATGCAGTGAAATCTGGTGATAAAGGTTCTTTGTATGTTTGGATCTTTGTCTATAAATCCACAAGTCCCCCCCCCCCCCCCCCCCCCCCCCAGTGTCATGAAAGGAAAAACACGTTTGTTTGATATCGTTCCAAAATGAAATTTTATCCACATTTTAACATTGCTGTTGTAACCTGCACTACGAATGACACGTGATCAACTCCAAAGAAAGTTCTGTTTTTCTTAAAATCTAGTAGTGAATCAATTGTTTGCATTTTCCTTTCCATAAACATTTTTGATTTAATACTTAGAACATTAAAAAGAATCCTGTAAATTGATCCCCAGATGCCAGTTTAAGTTGGCTTAAAGTTGGGATGATTTTTTTATTTGTTGTTTCTCGTTGAGTTTGTTTAGTTTTTAGCAGCCTGTCAGAAGTTTGGTACCCAGCCAACCTATCACAGCTCCACCACATGCTTCATTTTTAACATCCTGGGGTCTCATTTATCAAACATTGCGCAGAATCCTTACTAAAACTGTACTTAAGCTCAGCAAAAAAAATGTACTTACGCCAAGTAGGTTTATGATCTATCAAACATGGAGTACGCACAGCTGCACGCAATCTCCGCTTCATAAATCGGAGACTAACGAGAATGTTTCTCAGCTGCATTTTAGTCACATCCCGCCCTCACCACCCCCACTTACTGCCATAAATAGTCAATGCAAAGTGCCTTGTGGATCTCATGCATATACATAAGCCGGCTGTTGCAGCGCTCCGCCAATGACATGGCGACCGCAGATCAAGGAAGCTCTATTTCACAGAAGCAGAGATTCAGGTACCTGTGGGTGAGGTGGAGAAATGAAAGGAGGTGCTTTTGCAAAACAAGAGAAAATCCACGGAGTGGCACAGCGTTGCTGAAGCCGTCAATGTTGTGAATTCTTCAGAGAGATCTGTGGCGGATATTAAAAAAAGGTCCAATTGGGATTCAATCCCCAGACTCCCAGGTGAAAGTCACACGCGCGTCAGCCAAACGGAGATCTCCCATGTCCAAGTAGCCAGGGCGCATGATCAATCGGGTCACAGTGACAGGACACACACTGTCACAGACGCATGACATTCTGTCTCAACCTGCCCCCCTGCTGATATTCTGTATGCCGTATTCTGCGCTTCAGGCTGTGTGTGCGTGTGCGCGCGCATGTGTGTGTGAGTGTGCGCATGTGTGTGCGTGTGGGGGGTCTTGTTCTGTGTGAAAACGAAGCAGTACAAGTGATAATGCTGCAGGATTTCATAATTTTATCTTCTCAGCAGCAGCACTGCAGCTGCTCTCCATGTCCAACATGTGCGTAAGCCAGGTCCTTAGTCAACTTAAAGTTTTGCACATTTTTCCGCCAAGTTTTCTTTCATAAATCCCAAAGTTTGCGTGGAAAGGTTCTTTACGCAGTTTTCCGACCCCGTTTTGTGCGTAAGCAAGCTTGATAAATGAGGCCCCTTGTCTGCATCTGATGCCAGTCAGTCATACTCTCCAGTGCCTTTAAGCTGAGTCAAACCAGCATCCGACTCTCATGATCGGATTAAGTCCTTCGTGGTGCTGTTGAGTTACTCTGGCAATCCACCTGTGGTTTTATCTCCTCTGTCCCGTCTTTTGACTCCACCCCGGAGAGAGCAGAGAAATCAATAATAATTGATTTTACAAGGCAGGAAAAGGAGGTTAGAATTCAGGGGAAGGACCAGAGTAAGACAGAGACAGAGAGGTGCTAGAGAGGGGTGAAAGACCCTAAGCATAATAACGTATGTTCTAGCACGGATAAAGGTCACCAACATGAACCTGTCTATAACAACGCATTAGAAAGTGTCTTAGCTTTGCAGTCTTAGGAAAGAGATGACATCTCTAAATCCACCTCTAAAGGAATGTTTAGCTCATGAACTCTTATTATTGTGCCTATTGGGGTTTTTCCTTTTCCAACCTTGGGACTAATGAATCCAGCCGGAATCCTGGAGACACCTAATGAACACTAATATGTGATCCTCCTAAAGCAGCCCCTCGGTTGCATGTTTTTGCTTTTACGCTGCTTGCTTGGTATCCCTTTTCTTTCCCAGAGACCACTTTGTCAACCTTCAGAGGGTAGTGTTCAAAGCAAGCTGAGACAGTGACAGACTTTCCTGGCAGACTGAAAAGGCCATTTGATTTCTGTTGAAGGATCCATCTGAGGTCCAGAGGGTCAGTGCAGCTGACAGCTTGGAGATTGATAGTTGAGATCTTTCCCAGGCGGAACAGTGTTGGACAGCATGAGCAGTGATCCAAAACACCATCCAAACAGGGTGAGGCATGTCAGCTGCAGACGTGCTGCACCCCACGGTGAAGTGTGTGTGTATGTGCGTGGCCTTTTTGCTGAGGGCCACGTTTTCCTCCCACCATCAGAACTACTGAACGGTACTCAGTACGTGAAAACTCAGATCTAAGCACCACCTGGGGACGCATCAGTCGTTCAGGATCTCTTAAGTTTCAAGGTAAATGGGAAGCTTATCTTCCTCTGCTTTTTTGTTCTTCTTCTTTTTTTTTATTTATTTTTTTAATCATGCCTTGCTGTCATTTCCTCTGTCCTTATCTTGTGTTTCAGACAAAGCAAATACCTGAAGATGGTGCTGAGATAAATCGTCTCGTTCCCCGATTTTGATCTGAGCTCTCCAAACGATGAGCTGATGTTAATATAGATGTGAGCACACTAGCTTACAATCACAAGGCTATTGTGTTGTTGCAGTTTTTACATTTTACTATAACAGTTTTGGAGAAAATTCATCTTGCTTCAATTTTCAACATTAAAATGGGTAGGTCTAGTCATTCAAATGGAACAAAATACAACAATTTTTATTTGTATTAAATTAGCAAAGATTTTTGATGTTTATTCAGTAAATACGTCTTAATGAAAATGAAGGATCACAGAGTTTAGGACACACACACACACACACACACACACACACACACACACACACACACACACACACACACACACACACACACACACACACACACACACACTGCTGAGTCCTCTGAAATAGCTGTATCTTTTAATTTAAAGAGCCCAGTTTTGCAGGTGATATTATGAAGGCCACTAAGATATAAAAAGTCCAGTAAAAACAGATTGATCAGCATGATTATGCATTACTTTTTGAGTGCATTGAATCAGCCCATCAAGTGTGCGTTTTATGATTTCAGGAGTAAATCCATGGCTCTGAAATATCAGACTAGATTCTTATAGTTTCTCAGTTTGTCTGATGGGGTGGGTGAGAGGGGCAGGGTGTGAGTTGGTAACATTCATGGTGTGAAGGGTCTTTAACATTGTCGGATGTTATTTAGCATAAATAACTCCTGTGGATGTCATCATCAGCTGTACACGTCCTTGTTTTCTGTTACATCGTAACAAAAAGAGCAAATGGAAGCTAATAGTCAAGCTTCTCTTGTATCATATTACTTTGCCTGTTAACATATTGCTGTTGCAGCTGAAGACAGGAAGAATCAGGTTGTTTATATGTTATATTTTTACATCTATGGTATCATATGACATAATATAATATGGTTGTATTATAACATACCTTACACCTTATATGTAACATCACCTTGGAGAGACAAAGTATAATATTATTGTGTCATTTCTTATATAGTATCATATAGTATTGTTTTATAATATATTGCATGGAATGATATGGTATGGTGTGGTGTCATTATATACCATATTACAATGTACGGTAACCATATCGTCGTATTTTCTTGTGACATGTTGTTTCATATCACATTGACATGTCACATATTGCATCACATCATGTAGAATTTTTCAATACCTCATATTGTCTCATATCTACTGATACGGTCCCATCTTGTATTGCATCGTATCGTCTCATGTTTTGTGTCACTGTGGATGAAATTGTATTATACATCATATTTAGTATGCTGACATCCTATAATCTAGTAGTGCTTCATATTGTAACATATCGTTTCTATTAGGCATTGCATAATATCAAGTTGTGAAGTATCTTATTTTCTCATCTGAAATTG